TAACATTAAGTTTGATAGACTGTTGAGATGATAGCTCGAGCTCAAGATGAAGATTAAATGATCAGTTCGGTACAAAAAAAAATGCACAGGAAAGCGAAAACATCTAAAAATGCGTTAGTCCGGTGGATCTTATGAGCTAAGCTCTTTGGCCTGCAACGCACTTTTCGTAAGGTATGGATATGTTCACCTGTCTCAAAACGGTCTTGTTTGCCTCAATGCGGTCGTCGACGGTATGAAAAACTAGTACGAGTCGAAGATGAAGATTCTTCGATAAAAATTCTTCGAAAATACTTCGATAATATATCTGATATCTCACATTTCAAGTAAATTAGTTCAACCGGTCAATATATTTATTACAAGTCAAAGACAACTTCTGACATATACCTATATAACTCATGAAAAACTCTTCATTCTTCCCATATATCTATGGAAAAATTCAACTCAAAACCTCGTTGATGAATATTCACTACTAATATTCGCAAACCGCCGTTTTTCTTTAATTCTTCGATCTGATAAATATTGATCCATTAAAAGCTCCATTCGTTTATATTCCAAAATTAACTTAATTTCAATATGTCAAACTTTTAACCTATTCAAAACTTACCCCCTGTCTTGATCCGGTTCGATATTGCGATATCCCGCACAATGCAGACCGACTGGCACCTCATGTTGTAGAAGAAAATATGTGAAAGGGAACTACTCTTTTATATTCCTTCAAAGCCACTCTTCTGGAATTTATATAATCGAAAGGATCTATTCTAATTAAATTGGTTTTGAAAATACGCCTTCAAGTTTCCTTACCAATAATGGCACATTTGTTGATGGAGAGCAATGTTTTCTTGCCTCAACCCAAAAGTAGTACCTCTTATTGATTTGATGATCTCTATCCTCATCCAATGGTGCAATAATTCAAGTCAAAACATATAAATAAATAAAAATCTCAAAATCATCCCTAGGCCCTCTCTCTCTCTCAAATAGAGCACAGTGTAATAACGATGGCTTCAGAGCTGCCTGCGGTCTAGCGCTTCTACACTTGTCTTTTCAAACATCAACCGAAGGTCTCTTGCGAGTGGCTAGGTTACTGGTGTAATGATGTACACAGAATATGTTAAACTTCGGCAGTTCATAAAAGAACACTAAGCTGGGGGGAGTCGCCGGACGAAAACTCACTAAGACCACCCTACACTACCTAGGTCTGTGACTTCAAGACTTCAGACGAAATATTGGAGATGTGCAAAATCCTATAACAGTCGAATCGCAATCGAATGACTCAGTAGGTAAAGCCTCTTCGCCAGCCTGCTTTCAAGGTTACCGCTTTTTACGATTTAGAGTACTGACTTATTACAAATATACTGGCTTATCTAAAGTTCTTTTGTTTAAGTGCTAAAAATCGTAAAGTCCGCTACCATTTCCATGACTAAATAACAATTCTTCAGGTCTCGCTGTTAACTGCTCAGTCAATAAATAATCGCACATAAACTCAATTGATTTCCGTCTCATTTCCAACCAACCACTTAACCCAAATTGTAGTAATTTTATAAAATATTTGTATCATGATTCCATAGAATATGCGTTATCATCGGCCTACAGAAGTAACGGTACCAAACGAATGTGCGCTTGTGTGCGCTTCACTCATCAATTGTCAATGATTGTAAATATTTGTTCAGTGTTTTGATGACGTAGCAAATGTATACAGCTTCTATTTATCATAAATTTATTCATCTGTCATTCGCAAACAATATGTCAATTGCAATCAGCTGTTTGTCATTAAGAAGCAACGCACATACAGAGGCGCGCCGCTAAGAAGCTGTGACAGTGGCACATCCGGTGTGAAAACATCTTCGCTCGACTTTTATTTGTATTGTTGCTGTGTAGATATGTATGTTTCTATATTATTATACCCTTAACAGGGTATATTTAGTTTGTCACAAAGTTTGTAATACCCAGAAGAAAACTTCAGAGACTATAAAATATATATATATATTCATAAAAAATCAAGTTCATGCATGGAAAGCCTTTTCATTTGTGAAGGGTATTATAGCTGCGATGCCACCGAAGTTAACATGTTTTTCTGTTTATACAATATATTTATTAATGCTTCTTTGCTAGCTCAAGAAGTTGCTGATATCATGCATTTAGATTTTGTTGAAAAATAGAATTTCTTCGTACAGCAATTAAAGTTATTATTTAAAATATTATCAAATTAATTGAAAGATTTATTTTTGTTTGCCACTGGTGTTGTTGTTGCTTTTTGTTCTTTGCAAACCAATTTTCATATTTACGCTCTTTAGCATAACGTGAGAAACGATGGCTGAATGTCACTCACTGTCAAGTTGCTGTCAGTCATCAAATTAATAATTGAAACAATTAACTCCCTAGACAAGCAGTTCTAGTTGCCTGTTTTTTTTTTGTTTTTTGCTCTTGAATTGAAGTTAAACAGATTGAAAGATTGAAGCTGCTGGTCGCGATGGGTTATTATGATGGTTGGCCCGTTAGCTTTCTAAATGGCTGCCAGCCTTGCCCACGTTCACCACATTCCACTTCAACCACCCATTTTACAGACACACACACACACTTACATATATAGAGCTGTTTGTAGCTGATTCTTCTTTGCTTGTCAATTTACAAATTGTGTTGTCTTAAGCATCAATTAGACGCGATCACCCTTGAAACATGTTTAAAGAGCGCAGTTATAAATGCAGAAGCTCAAACACACACACACACATATACACTTACATATACATATGTATCTAATTGTTAAAAAAGTGCTTACATTTGTATGAGTATGTGTAATTGATTTAAATAATTGAGTGCATCACATGTCGGTTTACCGTTATACGGCTTTATAGAAAAGCGATGCTGCAATGATAAGATTCAGCGCAGCGCATGCAGGCAAGACAGGGTCGCTTTTTATCTCGTTTGCAGAGAACTTTAAGCACATAAATTATACTCTTAGCAAATATACAGTAGCGTGCATAAAATGCATATGTTTTATTTACCATGGATAATGCTTTAACTTTTTATTATTTTTTTGTTTTTTTTTTTTTAATTTGTATTATCTTGTATAAATATTTTTGGTTTGTATAAACATTTGGTAGATAATTTATATATATGTATATACCACTTCAGATTTTATTTACTCGAATCACAGTGGCTGGCCGATAAAATATTTGATAAACATTAACGACATGACAAAGTTAATCATAACATTATTTAAACGCATGTAGACTTTTGAATGTGATTTGTAGTCTGTAAATCCGAGAGCCTATAAGTCAACTGGTCACTGTGTGAAGATATGTACATATATATAATATATATTTAGTTTTAAAAAATTTAGTACCACACTTGCACTGCTCACTCATTTTCTTTCTGGATCTTTGCTCTTTCTCTCAATTTCACAATAATTTAAGCCACTCTCAAGTGTAAATTATTTAATAAAAAAACACTTTTTTTCACAGTTTTTACTAGTCCTTCGATCATTGCCTGTATTCATCAATCATAATGATTATGATTTTTTTTGTGTTTTGTATTTGATATAATTTTGACTGAAAAATCTACCTTGCTGTCAGAAATTTTTTTTCAGAGGTCTTCTTGAGATCGGCTACGCGATAAAGCAAATCCAAACTTTTTCTAAATGTATTACAAGTTATTAAAGTACAATACATTAAATGCTGTTGGGATACATTATTTTTATGTATTTATTAAATAAAATGCCTCATAAAATAACATACGATTTTTTTTCTGACTTACAAGTGGATATAACCTCCTAAGGCTATCCCTCAACAAGTTTAACAATTTTAAATTGCATAGTCGTCTTATTTATCCTTAAAATTTAATAAGCGACAGGAATGGAACACACAGACGCCATTTGTGTAGCTTGATTTAAAGTAAAAACATGTAGGTTTTACGAGTCACAGGTGGATCTATGTATCTCCAACCCATATTAGATCCTTTAATGTTGTTATTTTTAAGATTTGCTGGGTCTGTAAGCTTATCACTTTTTTATTTACCTACTCAATGCATTTCTGCATCGGACGATTAAGTAAGTTTTCATATTGTAAATGTGATGTGTAGTCACTTAGAGCTTATGAGGAATCACGTTGTTTCTATTAGCTTAGATTGGTTCAACTGTAAGATGCAACAGCTACAATAGACAACTTCAAATTTGGAGATATAACCGGTGATTTTCTCCATTAACGTATCGAGACCTTTGTAGTTACAGTTGTTGTTATAATCCTTGGTTCATATATCTATCCAAGGCTTATACTCCAGGTGCATCGTGACCACTTATTACAAATACTCTTGGAAACCGTTTTGTATAAAAAAAAAACAGTCAACAATTTGCCAAACCTTGCAGATAGGCTAACAATATTAAAAATACATAGAATAGTAACCAATTAATGAGGTATATGCATACTCTCTTGTGTTTTCGGATACCTTATTGTTGCTTTCAAGTAAAGCGAGGAGAAAAGTGGTGAATTGAAGACGTCTCATTATTATTTCACATCTAAAAATCATGTCACACGCCAAACTCGATATGAAATATGCAACACCACTGTACATTCGTACCGTTATTTGCCAAACACGTTCAAATACATTGCTGCACTTGAAGCAAAAGCAGCAAACAAGAAAACACAAGTGCATTTTTAATTGCAACCCACCACTTTGCCACCCACTTTAGACTCGGCAACGCTTATTGTCTGCTAACAGCCGACGCCAAAGAGGTCCTTGAGTGAAACATATGAATTTGTCAGCCCGGTTAACTTAATTTCAAACGTACCTGAGGCTATTTGACGCGTACCACGTTACCTTATCGGAGAACAAGCAACAAGCTGATATGCAGCATTGTAAAATAAAATGTACACATACACATGCACTCATATACTCATACGTGCAACATATATGATACATATACACCATTGCATACATATAATTGTTTGTAGGCATTATTGCAACATGTTCATTAACTTTGTTACTCTCTTTGCACTCTTTACTTGCAGGCAACCGTCTTGCTGCCGAGGATTATAAACGTTGTAGTAAAATTTGTTGTTGTTGTTGTATATGGATTTGTGGCACAACTACCTAAAACAGCTGCCGCACCGCACGGCAAATGAACAGCGTAACACATACACACAACACAGAAACCAGCGCGGCAACAATAAGATAGTAAGGAAGCAGTGCAACAACAGCAGCAACACAGCGCGCGTGCATTTATTATTATCTGCTCGCATTGAATTACAATACAAATGTACATCCGCTACCTACAGGTCGGCAATCTGCAGCTTTGTAGTGCACAGCGCATTGGCGACCTTTCGTTTTATTTTTCCTTCTTTTTGTTATTGTTATACCCTGAACAGAGTATGAGTATATTAAGTTTGCCAAGAAGTTTGTAACACCCAGAAGGAAACGTCGCAGACCTTATAACGTTTATATGTTTGTATATAAATTATCAGCGTGACGAGCCGAGTCGATTTAGCCATGTCCGTCTGTCCGCCTGTTTGTCTATACCCGAACTAGTGCCTCAGTTTTTAAGATATTGCTTTGAAATTATGCACACGTCTTTTTCTCCCTAAGAAGCTGCTGATTTGTCGGAACCGCCGCTATCGGACCACTCTAGCATATAGCTGTCAAATAAACTGACCGATCAAAATCGATTTATTATATGGAAAACTTGTTTGTTAGAACAGATGTCTGCACGAAATTTGTCATAGAGTATTGTCCAAGGCAGCGCTGCGATCTCCGAACATATTGTTCAAATCGGACTACTATAGCACTTCGCTGCCATACAAACTGACCGATCCAAATTAAGATGAAGAACTTTTTATACAATAAAAAATGCACCTGTGAAGGGTATTATAGCTTTGGTGCAATCGAAGTTAAATTTTTTTCCTTTTGGAAGAGTGCATGCCTCTTCCACTGCTCGCTGAATAATAGAAATACTCTGCGCAGCAAAGTGGTTGGTTGTCTTTTGCGCCTACCGCCGACTGTGAGGAAATTATCAACCACCAAATGCACACTCCTGCATAGTGTTGTGCGTTTGTGAATTTTCTTTTTGTTTTTGTATTTGTATTTTATTTTCATTTTTGGTGCACATCAATAACAGCAATTGCAACTCTACTCCACACAGGCGGCAAGCAGTATTCATTTCAAGGCAACGCCGTTAGGACGTGAACGAAGCGTATTGGTCGTGACTGCCGGTGTGACGAAGTTACGTGTGTAAACGTGTGAAGCGAAAATAACTGAAATTAATGAAACCAGAACGTAAGAGTATTTAAAATAAATAAATAATTTGAAAGAAACACGAAGTTGAAAACGTTAAAGAAAAACGAAAATATTAAAATAAATACGAAAATTATTAGCGCCTGAGAATGTGAAAATGGCACAACTGTTTTGCTGTGACCGCCAACAACAACTGCAACGTGCAAAATTAATACGAAAACATTTGCTTGCGTGAAAGTAACGAGCGCGTTGCTGCCACACACTCGCGCCGTTAAAATTATGTAAAGTAATTTGGCGCAACAAAAAGAAAAATAATAAAAAGAAAAACAAAAATCAGCTGTGCATAAAAAGTGCATGAAAAAAGGGGTTTGGTAACCACTAAATTTAATAAGTATAACATAAAAAACGACAGCTTGCTGCCACAACTTGCCGCACAACAAATAAACATAAAAGCAAACTAGCAAAGCGAAAAGCCATTGCCGCATGCAGGCAGTTAATTGAAGGTTTAACAAACACAAAAGTAAAGAAAAGTAATACAAAAGTGCAAAATACAAAATAAAAGCAAAGAAAAAAGAATAAAAGTGTAGAAAAAACATAAAAGTGAAGCAAAAATAATAAAACTGCAGAAAAAATAATAAAAGTGTAAAAAAACAAATGCAAACGCAAGCGCTTTGCTGCACACACCAAAAGTAATAAAAAAATATATATATATATACTAAAACACCACACATCAAAAAATCATAGCACCACACAACATAAAATATCAAGCGCCACATAACACCCCACACACAGGCACACAAGCAAACGCGCGCGCACATTCCTCTTCCTTGCGCTATTTTAATGTGCGGAAATGACGCACCTGCAACCCCAACGTCGCTACTACTCCCCAATGCGTTTTAAAGGAGGCGGAGGTGGTGTTGTTGTTGTTGGTTGTGTCGGCAGCAGTGATGATGGCAGCGCTATAGACGCCAACATAAGCGCAAGTGTCAGTTATACTCAACAAGCAGCTGGTAGCTGTAGCAGTGAAAGTGCAATCGGCAACGGTGTAGAAACAGTGTTTAACACCGACGCTTGTACGGCGGCTGTTGCGCTCGATTACTGTAGTCATCCGGGCACTGCTAGCCCTGCGACGTTGCCGCGTCGCAAACGTATCGGTGCCGCACTTACAACGTGCACACGCGCCAATCGTCGCCCCAACCACCACCTCAGCACAAAACGTTTCATTCCACCACCCATACCGCAATGTCGTCGGCATCGTCGCCGCCACTGTTGGCCTGCGTTTTGTGTACAACATTTCCTACTATTCGCCCATCTACTGTTGCTGTTTGCCTGCGGTGATTTCCTTCAGGTTGCCACGGCCGAACCGTATGGTGGGTCGTCTTCGTCGGTGGGTATACACATACCCGGCGGCAGTTTGGGCGTGATCAGTGAGTCGCGTTGTCCGCGTGTTTGTTCGTGTAATGGCCTGACTGTGGACTGTTCGCATCGTGGTTTGACGCAAGTGCCGCGAAAAATATCGGCGGATGTTGAGCGACTGTAAGTACAAACATATGTTCATGTGTGACATTTGTCTGAAATATTTATTTCCATATACATACATACATATGTATACATGTATATGTATATTTGCTGATTTTTTTTGCATTTATTTATTTACATAGTTTTTTTAATTTAATTTTTTTTTATTGGAAAAAAGTACAGCAAAGTGTAGTTTTGTTTCACATGTCCTCCGCTCTTGCTTTAATTATGCTCGTGTGTAGCGCTCTTTGCTAGCTTTCTATCGAAAGTTTAATCAACGTCTAATCAGTAATTTGCAAAGTAAAGCTGTAAACTAAAAATGAAACTATTCGCTTTATTTTAGTCAGCAGAAACTTTATTTTAGTAATTAAAAAAGTTCTAGCATTAAAAAGATAGAAAAAACATGTAAGGAAAGGCTAAGTTCGGATGTAACCGAACATTTTATACTCTCGCAAAGTTAAATGGTATACTCGTTTGAGATTTCTATATATATTTTAATAATTAGAAGTAAGAACTGTTGCCTCAGTTATTTACACTCACAGTGAAATTAATTAGAGCAATGTGTAAACTAAATTTACTCAAATTATGCGAAATCATTCTTGTGTTTTTTGTATACGCTTATAATTGATTTTATATAGAATGCATAACAACTGTATTGAATAACATTTTTTATTTACTATATCGGTATTATTATACATGTTTAGCTTAAAAAAATAAATATTAACAAATTTAAAAATTATATTATTATAATAATTTGTATATAATATTTACAATATTAAATAAATATTAGAAGAAAGATATGTATAAAGAAATCTATATCTATCTCGATTAGTTTTAGGTGATGCAAACAACCGTTAGGTGAACAAAACTAAATATTATACTCTGTAGCAACATGTTGCAAGAGTATAAAAATTGAAAGTTGTAAAATATTTCTTGTACAATACATACACTTATTATAGTTGTACCCATTTAGGGAAAAATATTAAAATTTTATAAATACTTGCTGTTTAATAACCATACCCAAGTTAAATACTTCCCGCTTTAGTTGATATTTTGAATGGATGATTACTTTGCCAACAAATTAGTTCCACCATTTTTAGCATTTTTTAGATAATTTAACAAATTTGTGGAATTAAATTCCATTATGTGGCAATTTCCACATAAATTGCTTTTCTTTTTTAAATTCTTGTTTTTTTTTCGGCTACAAACCGTCTAATATTGATGTGACTTGTAAACTGATGATGACGTCCACCGGCCTGGCTGATGACCTCAAATTGCGATAATTGCAAATTGTGCCATACTTGTTCGTACTGGCAAATTACAGGCAACAGTACCAACTTCACTCTCCACTCTGCACAGCAGTCCGGTTTCGGACGTGATGCCCAACCAGAAGAAGACTGTGAGAGTAAATCTCTTTTTTCCACTATTTTTTCTTGCGCAGTTCAAAGACATCACAAAATCTTTGTGTGTAAAAAATAGTTAAACACTATAATTGAGGGCCATTAGTGTTTTTATGTAGACATATGTGCACATATAGATGTGTATGTCGGAGTTTATACACGATTTTTAAACCAACTTTGCAATTTAATCAAGTGACAAGAAGTAAAGAGTTGTAGAGTTTTAAATCAGAGATGTTGCATGAATCTTACAGTGTGTCAGTAAATAGTCAGTAGAAAAAAGTAGTAGAATTGTAGTTAACTGTAGAGCAATACATACTGAAGGGAGCATCGGGTAGTTATTAGTATTTATTTTATAGCTAAAATATTGTCAGTTTAAGTCGAAATATTTTGTTTTGGCTAGCTCATCTTTCTACAATCCCGAATAGCGGTGTTTGGAATCAAGTAACGTTTAATTCAATAACTTAATTGTCAAACCTGTTCCATGTCGTAAGGCCTTACCTTTTGCTTTCCCGTACAAAATTTATATCCGCTTGAAGTTTTATCCAATAAAAATAACATGATTTGTTCATGCTTCTGATTCTCCTTCATTCGGCATCTCTCTTAACGCTTTTAGTATGCTCTCTAAGTAACCCATAACGAAGACGTGCTTTTTAGAGCTATTTACTGAATCCGAAAACCTTAGGTAGATAATATAGATGGAATAATTTGCTATGTCCAAAGAGTCTAAAAAAATAAAACAAAGGAGATCATACGAAAAAATGTGGTATGCAAATCTTTCCAAAATAGGCGTGATTTTCTTAACTAATATACTGCGAAAGTAATGATCGTTTCATCTTAGGAGATCTGTTACCAATAATGAGATATCTCAAGCAATCTATGGAAGTCCAAATTTTGTCCAGCCCAAGTGCTTTTAATGAATAAATTAAAAAGTAAATGATCTTTTGTGGTATTTTAAAAATTCTACTCTCATATCATTCTTCCAGTTGATGAAAATACAACCTGCCAATATCGGCAGGATTAATAGAAGTTTTTTTCTAAAAGTGGTCACTTCTAGGCTAGAATAGGCAAACTTCGTAGTGTGTTTCTGCCATGTAAAAGCTTCGTACAAAAACTAAATTAGCTGATTACCGACGCCTGTATCTACATAAACTGTTTAGAGAAATACAAAATATATATGCAATATATAAGGATACGTACATACATATCTATACCAATATATTATATGTATTTATAATTCCAAATTGTTACAGTGCGTAATTACTTTTCCTTCACTCGCTTATAAAGAACTACAAATTCTTGTTTCATCTTTTTGCATAATTTTTTATTATTTTTTCCTTTGATCTGCCATATTATTTAGTTAAATTCATACAATATAATCTTCATCAACTTAAAAATCGCTTGCCTCACCATTGTTGGTGAATTAAAAAACCGAATTCGTGGGACACAGAACAGCAACCAGCAATTTAACGCTAATAAAAGAGCCGGAGTAGTTAATTTTGAGTTATGCAGCTTGTGTAATCTTACAAACAATTTGGTTTCTCACAGTCTTACAACAACAGATAAGATCACAAATGTTATTTCCTTAATTTTAATATCAGACGCAAACACATACAGGCATATACTTAAAGACATATGCGAGTCTATATCTATATTGTATGTATGTATGTTTTTATATACATACTTTGTTAGAAAACATTAAAAATGGGAATCGCGACGCTAATGAGCACCAACCAATTCTGTGGCGTTGTATTTTCTAAATTGTTTTTTTTTTTTTGTTGTATTTTGTATTTTTTTATACCCCGAACAAGGTATATTAATTTAGCCACGAAGTTTGTAACACTCTTGAGGAAACGTCAGAGACCCTACAGGGTATAGAATCGATTTCGCCATGTCCCTCCTTTCCGCTCTAAGAAGCTATTCATTTGTCGGAATCGCCGATATTGTATCGCAATAGCATATAGCTGTCATACCAACTGAACTAGCAAAAATATAGTTTACGAAATTTGTCAGAGATAGATTTGTCTAAAACAAAGCTACAATCTCCGAACAATTCGTTCAGATCAGACCACTATAGCATATAGCTGCCATACAAACTGATCGATCAAAACCGCGATTAGGGTATTTTTATACCCTTTTACGCTTTAAGAAATGCACCTGTGTAGTTTATTATAGCTTCGGTGCAGCCGAAGTTAACGTTCTTATATCTTTTATGCGTACTTCCACTACAAACCGCCTAATTTGGAAAATTTCAAATGCTTACACATGTAGTCAATTGCCACTAACTACTGCTTAATTCTGATCTTTCAAAAAAAAGTAAATAAAAAAGCAACAAAAACGCAAATTGTAATAAAAAAAAATCGTTTGAAGGCGAAACCACACAAGTTTTGTATTTTGATATCGCAAGACCGAAATTTATTACAGGAGCTGCAGAATAAGTAGGTGTGCACACATACACCTATATATTATATATATGTAAATATATACGTGTGTGTTCTTACAAGTGTATGTGTGCGTCTGCTTGCCTGTGTGTTTATAAGCAATTATGTATTACAACATTCAACCACAAAATATTTGATGGCATCTTTAATCATATTTGAGCAGGTACACAACATATATTTACATCACACTAATATATGTGTATATATATTTGTACATGAATAAATTGTTAGTATGTCAGCTTGCATTTACACAGTTCTGCTTAGCATCGCGCATTTTTCATCTGCCTCATAACATAAATTTCATAATTCAAAACTATCGAATGAAGATCTGGTAATTTGATGTTTGACGCAAGGCACTGGGTCGCCACCCGAGGTAAAAGCGCTGTAAAGACAACAACAACAAGTACAACAGCGAGGCAGTAAAACATTCTTCTCGACTCTCGACAGGCCGGCGTTTGTGCGCAATTATGTGTATCGCTGGTGCATGTCAGCATTCCAGCAAAGAAGAATACATCCGCATTGGTGTGTGTGCATGCTGGCATTGCCGCTGGCTTTAGTCAAGTCTTCTACTTGTACCATTGCATGTTCATTTTTATCTTCGTTCTCAGTTTTGTATATTTTCATTTTACCTGTTGTTTTAACACATACATATACACAGAAATATTCAGCGTGCTGCCTTGTCTTGGCAGTTCGCCTGTTGCCTGCTTGGCTACATTATTATGATGTGCTGATACTTGGAATTAATTCCCACCAACAGCTGACGGACTGACGGGCGTCCTAACTGATCGCTGCATTTCTGCGCTGGTATGCAAGTGAATTTGTGTTTATTGTTGTTGTTGTTTTTAACAACTACAGTGGTAGCTAGATAAGTGCGCTGCAATCCTCGAGCGCACAACTTCTTATATATAACTCATTTGTCTGTCTAGACAATTAGTGCACTTAAAACTTCCATAAGGCATAGTTTTAGGCGGCAAGCGCTGCCTATTTTATTTAGGAAATAAAGTGGACATGCACTGCTCTAATAGTTGATTAGTAACTTCATGGTCATATTGATATTCCAATAATGTTTACACTTAGCACACCTTTAGGCGTCGTTTTAGCATACCTTTGGGCGTTCAGCACTATCTATTTCACTCGACAAACACGATACTTGTATAATTCACAGTTGGTTAATGAAAAACACTTTTTTCTTATTAAGTTTCCGAAATGCGCACTATATGGTGTTCTAAAAACGGCACCCATTATTTCTGAAACATGTTTTTCGCTACAAAAGAAGTTGACCGGTCGCCGTAGTAGTCCGAATTACCATTTTTTGAGCAGTCTATATGAATATTATAATTTCGGAGACGAATCTGAAAAACTGTAGGTGGAACTTTTCTAACAAATCCGGGAACATTATTTACCTAAATCTAATACTAACTTTCCCTTCTTCCAATATTCAATTTTTTTGAAAAGCTACTGAATGTTTTGTAGTTCTTTAATGGTTAGCTTACAAATCAATAATGTTCTGAGGCACAGAGAAAGTAAAGAAAAATTTCAGGATTCCAAATAGTTATTACGGAATACGAGTTATATGTGTAAGTTCTAAAATAGAGAGAAAAAAATAAAGTATCAGAATTACAATTTCGGGATCCCGAGTAATTATTTCGGAATTCGAGTTGATAATACATATATATAACAGATAGATATGTAACAGAGAAAAAAAATAAAATCTCGGAATTAAGTTTTCGGGATCCGGGATCGGGATTTGAGTAATCAATATACTACATATGTATGTATGCGTAAGTTCTGAAGTGTATAGAAAATAAAAAAAGAAAGTATCGGGATTACATATACGGGATTCCGAACTTCGAGATTCGTGTTAATGTAATAGTGTGTGTACCCATGAATTTATTTTAAGGTAAAAATTTATTACATAGCGATGTAAGTTCCGAAAAATTTTAGAATTCTGCAACTTAGTCCTTATAAACATTTAAAGCGCTTTAAATAAGCCGAAATTCATATAATTAAAAACTATGTATACCTAAAAAAAATACTGTTATGACTGCCACTGTACTTACATCTAAACATATACACACATCATAAATACAACTAAGGCTGTGCGCATTTCAAACGCCACATCAGGCTGCAGTGCCAACAGGTAAAACAGACGTTCTTGCCACCGGTCGACGCAAACGCCACAGTTGCGCGATTAACATTACAAATATGAAACAAACACAAAGAAACGAAACAACAATAAGCAATGTTTGTATATATTGCACATATTTGTTTGTTGGTTTGTGCCGCTATAAACAACCACCAACACACGCGGCCAACAGTCAAAAAACGTATTAAATTTTATATTTATTTATATGATATATGTACATACATATGTATAAACACACATATTCACCTTTGTTTTCGGTTAAGAAGAAGTCTTTGTTCCTCAACTTTTATTTAACTTGTTTTCAGTTATTATTTGAGTTTGTATTTTATACGCTACATAAACATTTCATAATCTTAGTTAACCGAAAAGAAAATAGAAAGGCAAAGAACCAAACAAAAAACATAACAAGTTTACAAATTCTTCAGTGTACCCTTGCACTCGCATTCCAGCAGCATTTGCGTAGGTGGTGAGTTCGGGAAAAGTAGTCTAATTCTCATTATATTTACGTTTTTCTTAGCTTAGAAAGTGCATAGCTATGTAAATATGTGTGTATGTAGTATGTCTGTGTGTGTTTGTAAAGTTATTCGGAGCATTTATAGACCCTGGCCTTGGCGCTTGCCCTTCGTTTGTTTGACGGCAGTTAGTAGCGGGGTTCCGCCTTTTAAGCCGTAAGCAAATGAGACTGAGTGTCTCTAAAGCAACATAAACAAGTTAAGCTATGTGTTATATGGGTTATAAATTTTATATACAAATATACATACATACGTATATAGTATATATTGTAGGTATAATATTTTTAAACGGGGGTTCTGAACTTTGACGCCTTGATTTATAACTATTCTAGTGAACTGACACCCATTGTCAACGGTTTTTGATCATATTTGTAAATATATGTAGGATTATCTAACGATTATATAAGTAATCCTCAGATTGTGTAAACATACTTTAAATCTTATAAAATAAGAAAATATATTAACTGCGAAGGTACGGTAGCTATAATTCCGTTAAAAAAAAAATACATACAAAAACATGATATATATACAATCATAATATATACATATATATATATATATATACCTATATACCTATATATATATATATTATAAAGTCTCCGACATTTCTATCTGGGTATTGCAAAGTTCGTGGCAAACTTAATATAACCCCTGTTCAGTGTATAAAAACTACAGAAAACCATAAGAGACTCCTGTAAAAGTTGTCTCTTCCACTTCGTGTTGGCTTAGATGCTTAAATTCCACAGAAGTTTGCTCCAAGATCGTTATGGCAATATTTATTTTGATTTTTGGTTTCTCTTATCTAATAATTCTAATAAAAGCTGGATATCAAGTGAGCCAATTAGATGATTTACAAGGCTGTTAAAGAATACACGGAATCCCTTTAGCTATGCAAGAGATATGATCATAATAATAAAAATAATGCATATTACAAATCTGAGCCATTAACTTGCCGGTTTTTTTTAGGACTGTATCATTTTGTCTTCGTCTTTACGATTTATATACTTACATACTAAAGGAATTTCTTATCTGAAATAAATCTGATAATGGTTTCTAAACTTAACTCTAATTGATCTGAGCCCAATTTTTCAATCCGTGTATATATTTTTTTAGATTTGCTAAATTAAAAAAAATATATATATTTTTATACCCTGAACAGGGAATATTAAGTTTGCCACGAAGTTTGTAATACCCAGCAGGATGCGTAGAAGACCCTACAAAATATATATACAAAAAAATGAACAGCATGATGAGCTGAGTCGATTTAGCCATGTTCATCTGTCCGTCTCAATATACGCGAACTAGTATTATTTCGGTGCAAGCGAAGTTAACGTTTTTTCTAGTTTTTCTTTTTTTTCTTTTTTAATACTGCTCTGATGAAAACCAAGATTATTTATCATATCATAAGATATATAATTACAAGTCAATATATATTTTTTATAATGGTATATATCTCAAATGGCCAATTATTGAAACTATAAATTGGCAGTACTTTTTGACAATATTACTACAAGTAGATTAAAAAAATATAAACTTAATTAAATTATCTGGCAACTCTTTGGATATACAAATTAAAGTCATTATTAAATTTAATATATTTTTACCAAAATTTTTACAACAATTCTATGCTTATAGATGTATGTATATCCAATCTTACGCCAAATAATTTTTAGAAGTTTTATTCATTTATTAAATTTAATTGTAATATTCTTATTTTTAATTAAAATTAAAAGAATTTAACTAAATCATACATTTTATTTTTTGCAAATTGGTATTTATTCATTATGTTTGTATATTTTCAGCGATTTGCAAGGCAACAATATAACAGTAATTTTCGAAGCCGACTTTCAACGCTTAACAAAACTGCGTATACTGTAAGTATAGAAAACGAAAACAAAAACAAACAAAAAACCCGGTTCAACATTAACATTTATGTATAAAATTTTGTATTTCTTTTGTTTTTGAACTGCATGTAAACAACGAAGCATAATCAAAACAATAATTAAGTGTCTTGTAAAGTAAGCGTTGCCGATGGGCATTACATAAAAAGCTTGACGAATCGATTTGATGCTCAAAAATGTTCGTTGCACTTGCAATGATTACTACACTGGCACACACACACACCCAAGCGCGCGCCTTAATACTCGTAGATATGTGTGTGCGTCAGTGTTGGGTAGCGGCGATTAACGATTTGTAAATTGATTTTTTTTTTCAGGGTAAATGTTAAACTAAATAAAAATATATATTTACGAGTATATTCGGCGTTTTAATGTGATTTCGAGTCAAAAGCTAATCAGCGATGTTAAAATATGCAATCAGCTAAAAGCGTGAAAATCTTGTATATATATGTATATGGTATTTGAAATGTATGAGCGTTTGCAAGCGCGCTAAGCGGAAGCTCTTTATTTCTTGTAGAAATCTCTTGTCTATATATATTTAAAGAAAATTTTTTGTTGTAATAATTTATAGTGCAACGCCAATTAAATGTTATATTGTTCAAACAAATACACTGCCGCTCAGCTGGCACTCGCTCGGACCAACGTTCGTACGCTAAATTTTCATATTTTGTTCGGTTTGACCTTTGCGCAGCATAAATCTTCGTTAGTAATTTGTAGCGCTTTCGGCTTTTGTTGGCAGTTTTGGTAGTAGTCAACGAGCATATTTTGTATTATTGTATTATAATATGCATATGTACATGCATGTGTGTATGTATGCATTTCTTAGTAATTTCTTCTTTTATCAACTCTGTATTAATAAATAAACTCTACACTATCTTAATTGTCTTGCAATAAATTAAAAATAAATTATACGCACTCTTGCAGCCAACTAACGGATAATCAAATACACACAATAGAGAAGGGCGCTTTCCAGGATCTGGTGTCACTGGAGCGACTGTAAGTTTAGTTTTACTTAGTTTTCTCAACTTTTGCATGCGTAAGAGTCTTCATTGCATTACTGAATGCTTAGCTTTAACTAAAATAAAAATTAAATAAAAAACAGATAAAAAAAACTTACTTAAAAAATTTCAAAGTTTTCTTTAAAATTTAAAATTTAATTTTGTGTTTGAACTAAAATTTTACTATATTCATTGTCATAAAAGATTATTTGAACTAAACTGATTTTTCTAGTTACTTTTTGGCTAACAGTACTGTCTAGATAAAGCAATTTATTTTTTATTGATTATGGTTATTTATTTTTCATGTTACTCGCTTATATATTGGGTTCTTCAAAAGCGCTGAATTTTCAATTTTCAGTTCAATTATTTTTACTTGCTTGTTACTTTTTTATTAGAATTTAAAACAAATCCTCCATAGTATCCTCAAAATATTTTGTTTTCGAACGAAATTAACCAATTGTCTAACCAAAACGGTAATCTAGAGTCATAAAAATTTTTACTATCGAATTCAAAATAGACTACCTTGGAGCCACTACAAGCATTCCAACACTTAATCCAATTTTCCAATACAATCTTATATGCCACGACTGGGATGGCCTTTCAGTGCCTTCAGCGACCTTTCAATTTTCGATTTTGGGATATTCATCAACACACATCTCAACACCAGTAATGATGTGTTTGATGAATGTACAGTCCTTATATATGTTGTCTCTTCTGCGACCTCTACTCGAAGTCGTTTTTGCAACAGATTCAGATTATATATTAACTAAAATAGTTGAGTCGTTCCACAAAATATGTTGAGATCTTCTGCTATCTCTCTCATGCCAACATGACGATTTTCAAGCATTGTTTCTTTTTCTATGTTGCCGTCACTAACAGAAGTGGCCTAGCATGAGGCAAGTTTTCAATAACCTGAAGACCTTCACTGAATGCTTTATGCCACTTAAATACGCGTGTGAGTGATAAAGTAGACTCCTTAAAAAAATTACGCAACAGTTCTAACGATTCCGTAGTCGTAATGCTATTGACAACACAAAATTTCAAGCAAACTCGTTAAATTTTTTCAATAGTAAAAATCGCCAGACACACAATTGGTTTAGTAAACAAAAAGCTTCCAACCACTCACTGATTGACATATGCAGATCAAACTTCTCGCGCACATAAAAAAGGTTGTATCAATCTATGAAAAAAATGTTTATATATACGGTTTGATCTGATGGTATTATCTAGTTAGAAAGTTAAGCTTAAGCTTAGTAAAAATGTTATGTATCTTGATCCAAGTGTGAACCTTTCTCTTGGCGTACTATCCCTTTTATATCTGTGATCTTCTAAAAATCTACGTTATTATGATCTATTCTTACATTTATTTTCGTCTTTAATTTTACGTAGCGTATCCACTAACTTTTAGCTTGCAGCAATCTCTAGCATACTTTTAGGCGCTTTGCTTTTATGCTTCCTATTTCATTTTCTCGTTGTCTCTTACCAATAGATTATTCTTCTCTTTCAAAGTATTTGTAGAAAACTTTAATTAATTATTGCATTTCAAAGTAATAAGAAGATCCAGAAATTTCCGTAGAGGTCATTTTTGAATTCATAAAAATTAATATTTTTTATTTATGTGGCAACTTTTCACTGCAAATTCTTAACATGAAGGTTTTGAATCTTGTAAAAATTAATTTGAAACAACCCAATATACGCGTGTTATAGTTTAGCCAATTTTTTTTACTTACAATTTTCCAATAGAAATACTTTTTATTTTTTGTTTTCTCATTTTTTAATCTTACTCTTTTCTTTTGTCTTTTATTGATTAATTTTCCTTATTTTTCATTTTAATTTTGTTTTTTTGGATTGATTGGACTTTCCAATTTGGATTTTTCTGCACGCAAACACAACACTGTTACAACTCTACAATGCATACATACAGGCGCCTTAACAACAATCTGCTAAAGGCGATACCTGAAAATCTAGTGTCAAGTTCAGCGAGTCTTTTGCGATTGTAAGTAGTCGAATGCAATGCTTTTTTATTAAACACCAAACATATTTTCTTTGATTTCTTTCGAGGAATGCTGCTATAGAGGTTCAAATAACTACAATACATTAATAATCAATTACTTACTCACTTAGTACAAGTATTAGTGATATCTTTAGTTTATAATTTTATAATATATGCTAATTAAACATATTTGTTCACGAATTTTACTTTATACTTTTCGTAAGTAGGAACGTTCTGGGCTGCTACAGTTTTTTTTATTCATAATCTCATACAGTAGAAAATGCGTTTGCCTTGAGTACTCAAAAAAACTGGTTATTAATTGTTGAACTCATTTCAGTAGATTATTTATTTTTAACTATATTACGAATTTTGAAATAAATCTATATAAAAATTATTTGAAAAACATTTTTGGAAAATAATTGACTAACTGTTTCACTTTTCCTACAGGGACATCTCCCACAATATCATTACGACCGTGGGACGTCGGGTCTTCAAAGGCGCGCAATCATTACGTAGTCTACAGTTGGACAACAATCAGATCACGTGTATGGATGAGCATGCGTTCAAGGGTCTTATAGACTTGGAAATTCTGTAAGTATTCATATACAGTAGATGGCGCTCTGAGCAAAGCGAAATTTACGTGCGAAAACTTACTTATAAAAACTTGTTGAGAGCTTTTTAAAGTTTTTTATTGAATATATATATTTTTTTATATTTTTGGCAGCACTTTAAACAACAACAACTTGACTTCGTTACCGCACAACGCATTCAGTGGTTTAAATCGTTTACGTGCTCTACGCCTGTCCGATAATCCCTTCTCGTGTGACTGCCATTTGTCTTGGTTATCACGTTTCTTACGTAGCGCACCGCGGCTTGCGCCATATACACGCTGTCAATCGCCCTCGCAGTTGAAGGGTCAAAATGTGGCGGATCTGCATGATCAGGAATTTAAGTGCTCAGGTAAATCACTTAATTGTTTTTAAGGTTATGCTTGTTATTTGGAACGGAACAAGCTTTTTGTAATGAAGAATTACTAAATATAACCGGTCGGTCCTAGAATTGTTAGTCAGTTTGGTCATTGTTTTAAAATCATATGTATATTCTTGTCACTTTATCAGGAGATAAAAAGTCATATTCGATGTAAATTATCGTTCAAGATATTTTAAGAGCTCCAGGGTAGAACTTCTTGTTTTCAGCTTCTGTATTATACTTTCAGCTTTCAAGACAACTACTATTGTATTGCAGTTCTTCTGCAACAGAAGCCCACAGAGTCTACTAATTTAACCTCATAATTCGAGAAGTCCTTCACTGAAGTTGGTAGAGACCTACTCGCCAGTCATATAGGCATCAGTTCAAAGAAAAGGTTTAGTTACATCGTATTTATAGTTTTTTGGTCCTACAGTGATGTGAAAATAATTCTTTGGAAAATATATCTGGCATATCTGATCTCTAAAGGATGTCGCTGCATATGATATACACGAATTAGTCTCTTAGTTGATGAGATATCGATCTGAAAGCTAAGACATGCATCTGTGAAGGTTATTATAGCATCGCTGCAGCTTTTTTTTTTACCTATGAGATATAAATAATATAAGTTGAAATCGCTTACAGCAATTTTTCATACGTAGTAAATTTTATAGAGTCATTAAAAATTATGAAATAATGAAAAATTACAACAAAAAATATATATCTATGTATATATGTACAATAATTATTTCCACCTCATCTATGAGCATCAGCGCTTTCCAAGCATAATGACTGAAATAAATCATAAATAAACACAAGCACACATACTCAAATGACTGCTTTAATTGTATTTAAATTATAGTTAAAACATTTGTGTAATTAAGTACCCTTCCAATTTCATATATATTTTTCTTTTTGATGTTATTTTTCTATCTCACACTTTGCACACGCTTAAAGGCCTCACCGAGAATGCGCCAATGGAATGTGGCATGGAGAATAGCTGCCCACATCCGTGCCGTTGTGCCGATGGCATTGTCGACTGTCGCGAGAAGAGTCTCACAAGTGTGCCAGTGTCGCTGCCAGATGATACGACGGAATTGTAAGTATATGCAGAAGCACATAGTGTATATATTATGTACACGTGTGTGTTTGCGTGCTTAAGTGAACGCTTGAGAAACTGTAAAATTTTCGCTTGGTAAATCGTAATTTTTGAATGGCTTAAGCGCTCACTGCGGCACCTCGAGCAATTTAAAAATCAATTTTTTTTTTTTTTTGTTTTTTTTTTTTTTTGTTTTTCTATGCCATCATTATTGTAATTATGCTTTGCATTTTCTTTTGCTAAACATTTTGCTTTGTTTAAAGTTAAAACAAAAAGTTATTTGCTTTATCTATGTTCTCATTACAGGCGCTTGGAGCAGAACTTCATTACCGAATTGCCACCAAAAGCTTTTGCAAATTTCCGTCGCTTACGTCGCATTGACCTCTCTAACAACAACATTTCGCGCATTGCCCACGACGCTTTGGCTGGCCTGAAAGCGCTCACAACACTGTAAGTAAATTAAAGAAATTTTGTAAAAAAATTAAAAACAATTAAAAATAAAAAGAAAAACTGGTTAAAAAAGAATAAAATAATAAATAAAAAAAATAATAATAATAATAAATATGAAAAAATAATATTAAATAATATATATAAAAAAATAATATTAAATAATATATATAAAAAAATAATAATAAATAAAAACTTAGAAATAAATTTAAATAAATTTTTAAATAAAACACACATACATAAGAACCGTTTGTCAGTTACGCGTATTTGGTTATTGTGCCATATCATAACAGTATCTTGTTGCCTGTATACTGTATAAACTAGCTATGAGCTGTGTATTTGTTGTTTTTTGTTAATTACATACATACTCCTGTGGCCAAATGAGCGAAAAGATAAACACTAACATCAATCAATGAAGTGCGTTCGAGTATTTACACAAGCATATGTATATATATATATATATGTGTGTGCAGTGTATTATGGCCATTAAGCGTTTACTTGGCCAACAGCAGCTGGCCAGCTGCTACTTACTTGGTTTTATTTTATTTAATTTTTTTTTCATATATTTTTTATACCACAGAAGTTATCCACGTATGTACGGATTTTCGGAGTTTTTTGGGATTAAAATTTATTAATTTTTTTCCCAAAAGTTTTCAAGTTTTTCGTTTTATATGCGCATCGCTATAAACCACTAAAAAAATACATATTTAGATATGTACATATATAAATCTGGTATATACACACAGTGACACCTATGTATATATATATATATATATATACATATATACTGTTCTGTATAACAGCTGCATTTATCAGCAGCTTATATCAGCTACAGTTACGAAATCCCGCACTTAATTTTTTACCTCATACAAAATTTTCGTGTACAAAACAGATGTCAGCACACCAGTAGATACAATACAAAATCATGTGATTGACCGATATGAACCGATATGAGAATAGTTTAAAATTTCCTCAACTCTTTCGCTTAGTAAATTCAACATATTCTTCGAGATAATCATAACTTTAGGATCCATCTCTGAACCAGCATTTCGTTTTCTTTCTGACTGGTCCATTTTTTTATGAAAAGCCTTCATATTATCAGACGATCGTTTCGATCATAATTAACTACATACTTTCAAAAATAATGTCATTCTGATATTACTGTTTTGCATTTGTACCCTTTTGGTCCCTCATAATTTAGTTCCTAAATTTGTCCATTCAAAAAATATGCGGTTTTTTTTTACTGATTTCTTCGCGAGTTCGAGTTCGTCCATTCACAAAAAATAATGTGGTCTGCCTGTTATCTGTTCCGTTTTCTAACTGCTAACTACTTATGACCTTTGAAAACCAAAAAAACAAAAAATTGCAGCCAAAGGAGATCATTTGTTATACGCGTTATTGTCAGAAAGTCGCTACGATAGAGTAGTAATAAGCTTGTAGGTTAAGTAGTAATAACCCCAAGTGGTCCATTTGTCAAGCTTATTAGTAGTTAATTGTTTTTGTATTCTATCTAATTAACATGCTTACTTCAACTATTGTATTTGTAAAGTCCATCGAACTAGACTCATCTAAGTCCAGAGTGACAGGGAAGATAAAAAATTTTAGAATATATTTTAGTCTGTTTTTGTAAAGATCGCATGCCAGTTAGTTTCCCCGTAGCTTGATGTTATTACAAAGGCTTCTGATTTGTGCCTTAAATTCGACGGATCTCCATATTTAAAGGTCCACGTAAAACATTGCTTGATTAAAATGTACATATGTATGTTTACCTAATAAAGATAATCAATTGGCATTGATATACAGCTTATAGGATCTATATAGCAAGGAATCTAGGTGATTGCCAGCACCGTCCATCCGTATGGTCCATATGTTATAAGCATCGTTCGTTAACTCTAAGCTTTGAAATTAATTGCGAGATAAAAGCTACTGAAGAAGCGTCGTTAGTTTGTAAGTCTCTCCGTGAGCATCTATGATCTCCTGAATAAAGTAACTAGAGAACTTGCTGTGGAGTTTATGTTAACGAGTCAAAAATTCTTAACTTCAATATGTCACTTGTCGTCTTAATACTGAGTCACATTCCAAGAGAAGATCTTCCGTTGCGCTTGCAATCAATACGTACCGATCTACTCGTACACGATGCTCATCGCTACACAAAACGCTTAAGAGGCTACGCTTGTTCGCTGATAAATAGAAAATCCTGTTAAATGTGGAATTTATGTCAGATTTTGATATTTTATAAGTATATTTATGCGCAAATGTAGAAATATAATTTTAAGCTTTTCAGCGCATACGCGGCGCGCTTTCAATACGCCGAAAGTTTATACCTACATACACACTTAAGCATCTGCATAAAGCTAACTTTAACTCATTAATTGTATTTTTCGTACATTTTTTCCTTTTGCACGTGCTTATCGCCTTTTTTTATGCATATTTTTCTTTTGCTCTGGCTCTGTTGCTCATAATAGCGGTAGTCTATAAAGTTCATTTGTACCATTGACTCCGCTCCCAAACCGGTTTAGGCAACGCTTGCCGCCAAGATTTTCGCTTCAATTTTCTGCTAAAACTCATTGACGGCGGCCTGTTGGCCAGTGGAGCTTATAAATCAGTGCCTGCATACATGTACATGCATGTGTATGTGTGTGTGCGTACATCACATCGGCATATGTATAATGGCTTTTTTATTATTTACAACTTTGCCAGCGAACTACGAACTGCGAAAACACTTACTTAGCAGACATAATGCATTCACTCAAGCTGCAGCGCCTTCAATTGTTCGACCGTCCGTCCGTATGGTCCATATGTTATAAGCCGCGTTCGTCATCAATGCCATACCCATTGTATTTACAAGTATTTTGTTGCCTGTTCTACCCAAGTGTCTCCCCTCGCTCTGCAACACCTTGTGGTAACGTAGCATCTAGCATTCGGAAACTTACGTCCTTACTTACTTACATACTTACAAACGGATGCATTTAGTTGCTTACTTACAAACTTACGAGCTTACGTACTTACTTATGTGCTTATGTGAATAACTTGTGTTTTGCCACTTTTTGCACTTTAATCTGCAATCTTCTTTGCAGCAGCAAATTCTACGGCATTTTCTGCGAATGCCAACACTATTCACACACACACACACTCATACACGTCCGACTACACATATTGCTTCGTCAGCCACTATTGCCCACACAATTGTTTTGTATCACTTTATATCATACATTTTATCTTTATTTAAAAAACATGTCCACTTTTGTCTTACACAATACACACACAAACACACATATATTGTACAAATACCTATATGTATATAGATTTTTAATGTTTTCTTATTTGTTCTTTTCTCTCTCTCTCTCTCATTTTTTAGCGTGCTCTATGGCAATAAAATAAAGGATTTGCCCTCAGGCGTATTTAAAGGACTTACATCACTGCAACTTCTCCTGTTGAATGCCAATGAAATCTCCTGTATACGCAAGGATGCCTTTCGCGATCTGCACAGCCTCAGCCTGCTGTCGCTTTACGATAACAACATTCAATCGCTGGCTAATGGCACCTTCGATGCGATGAAGAGCATACAAACATTGTAAGTGCAATCACACCTCACCACCACCTTAATATAACGGCCCGCAAATCACCTCATCGCTCCTCACCTTACGTCACATGCCATTCATGCCATGCATACATGCAAACACATGAGAATATAAATAAATACATATGCACGTATGTATGTGTGTGAACGCGTATATCAAATGCACTGTTGGTAAATGGAAAACAAAAACAAGAAAATATATTAACTTCGATTGTACCGAGGCTAGAATACCCTACAAAACAAGAACTTGATTTTGTACAGTCAGTTAGTATGACAGCTATATGCTATAGTGATTCGATCTGAACAATTTTTTCGGAGATTGTACCTTTTCCTTGAAAAGTAATCTGTGCCGAATTTCGTGAAGATAATTCGTCAAATAAAAAAGTTTTCCACACAAGAACTTTCTTTTGATAGATCTGTTTGTTAGACAGCTATAATCGTTAATGGTCCGATCCGAAATATATTTATAGCGCTGCCTTGTGAAATAATCCATATAAAATTTCGTGAAGATATCTCGTCAAATAAAAAAGTTTTCCATACAAGAACTTAATCGAGAGAGTGTGTTAAAAGTGGTCCGATATTGGCGGTGCCGATAAAAGAGCCGCTTCTAGTGGAGAAAAGGATGTGTGAAAAATTTCAGTTCGATATCTCAAAAACTGAGATACCAGAGGTCTTGGTATTCGACTAATTCACTAACCGGATTAAACTGATAGGGCATTAATAGTAATAGTATTATTCGGTTAATATTCATACGAACGGTTACAAACCGGTTATTCGAACAAACGGTTTTCTGGTTATTCGAATAATTTTAGGAGCGCTAATACAGACAAACAGACGTTTATGAGCTGAGCCACGCTGCTCATCTCTGACGTCTCTGCCATTTCCTTCTAAGTTTTATAAAACTTCGTGGCAAACTTAATATACACTGTTTAGGGTATAACAACAACATAAAAGTTGTCAGCTTGGTACACTTAATAATAAAATGCACTGTAGGCGCAAGAGTTCATCATATGTGTTTGTATGTGTGTTCTGTGTGCATGTGGCATTTAACTCGTATATAGCGCTTGTTCTGTCGCAGGAACAAAGGACATGACACCTAGGGCATTTAAACAATATGTCCGCAACAGTGTTGTCTACACACACACTCACACACATGCACATACGCCACCATCAAATAGCTGTAAAAATGCGGCAAGCATGAAGAAAGTGCCAAAGACGCAGCAAAGCGCGGCACATTTAGGCGTCGTTGTTTTGTTGCTCAAGTCCGCCCAAGTGAGCAGTTTATCTGCTGGCTGACTTTACATTGAAGTGTGCTTATTTCTTTAATACTGGCATCTGCCCGCAGAGTTGGCCTGTTGACGCAATGCAACAGTTAGATTTCTAAGTGGTTTTTGTTCTCAGAAGCGGTAAAAGACACAAAAACAAATAGCAAAAAAAAATTAGCTAATGCGAGCAAAATGTCTCAATACAATGGATTCATGCCGCTTTTATGGTGGTTGCGCATGTTGCGGTGGAAGTTTTTGAATTTTTCAGTTAAAATACGAATTATATTGTTTCTATTTTTGAATTGAAATACTAGGTAAAAGTGCATAAAATAAAATAAAAAGTCTTAAAGGAGGTGTCTTCGTCAACGGCAATTAGCTAATCTTACGATGAAAATAAATATTGATGTACTTTTATGGTTTTCAAAATCCGTTTAATCTATTTAAAATCGATTAAAACATATTTCGGTATAGTTTTGAAAATCCCATATTTCGTAAGTCTGCTGGTTAATTCTTTTGCAATGGAGCTAGAAATTCAATTAGCGATTAACCGACTCATCTTCCCTTCAAAAAACACTATTTTGAGACAGACAGATTAAAAAGACCGCTTAAGGGGTTACATGGGTTTCACGGCTTCACAAAAAAATACTTTTTTAGTGGCTTATTTCATTTTTTAACATCTCTAATACATGGTCCTAAATTCTCAAGTTGATCCCCGTAATAGTTTTGTATATACAGCTTTGAAAAGTCGCACGCTCAAGGTCAGCTATATAATCACTTAAAACTTTAAACGAGTTTTTCTCGAAACTGTGTTTTCAAAGTCAAGTTTGCTGGCGAACTACTCAACCGGTCTTAATTAAATTTTACACAGGTCTTTGAGTTTTGAATATTTTCCTTTGAAAAATCTTTATCAAATATGTATCTTCGGAATAATAAAATATTTGATTAAAATATTTAATTTTTTATATGAAAAAGAAATACCGAAAATAGGGCGTTTTTTGCTCGACGAAACCCATGTAACCCCTTAAACCGCTTCTCTATAAACTCATATACATATGAGATTGAGAGCACTACAAACTCAACCTCTAAATTCGATATCAATGAATTGAATTAGGGACTGGGAATTTTAAACCTAAAATCGTTTCACAGCTCTTAAATATCAGCTAGAGGCGAGAGTGTGTGTATTTTGGCTATCAGACTCGCCATCGAGAAGAAATACATTTGACGATCGGTGTTCTACTGATATTCTCAAACATAACATACTACTATGTGTTTAAGTTACTTAAATTTATTCAAAGAACGCTTAATATATATACAATCTATCTCGAGGTTTTTGTATTATTATATTTGTACCATCTCTCCGGGCCCTAATAATGATCGTTATTGCTGTGATATTCGAGGATATCACGATCAGTTCCTTCATCTATTTAAGATTGCAACTTCACTATGAACCGCTTAAGTTAACTTTTATCGCATTTCATACTTTCTTAAATCAGATCTTTAACATTAGGCGTAACACACCCAGTAATTCTGTGCGATCTCAGCAATCATAAATAGCAATTAGAACCCACTAGACCAATATACTAGATCTTCACCGATTTATTAAGTTTAGTCATCGCTGCGAACCGCTCAGTACTGCTGGATTTGCTGATTCCGTACTTATGGGACAAATAAAATAAAACCGGACCTGAACTGGGCTCCATCTCTTTTTCAACCAATATCAAGATCAATAGAACAATTTTTTAATAAAAACTTACTATAAAATTCAAAATAGTTGGGTCCGTCTATTTATTATATAACAGCAAGATTTCACCATAAATAGGAGACGATGCTCGGACAAGTCTCAAGCAGTGGTGTAAACCGTGAATATTATACTCTGATTGATTTCTAGAGAATGCTCAAGATGAGTTCGTAAATCTAAAGCACCATCATATTTTTCAGTGTCGGTTCCCAAAGTTTTTGCAAATCTCTGAGGTGTTTCCAATAAATCTTTTGCATTGAGTCTTAGTAGCACTTAAATATTAAATTAAAACACAAATTTTAAAAAAGTTCCAACATTATCGAAATTATCACTGAGCTTGATTAGTACTAATTTCAATTATGGTGGAACTTTATAAAAATTCAAATTGTAAATATAATATATAGTTTATGGCTCGATTTATTCTAAAACTCTTCACTCATTGAGGTACGACTGATGTATTGATATGCTTGAGTTCATAAAGGGTGTTAACTTTGAACTTTGAAAGCTTTTCGAAACTGCTTACAGTGCGCTAAAACCCCTACCACACCGTGCAGAGCTAAAAATGAGCTTTTGAGGTTATATAGTTCGATAACTATTATCTTTACTAAATAATAATTATTTTTCGATATACTTTTTCTGCACAACACATAAAATTATAGTGTCAACGAAATATTTCACGTTGAATACAAAAACATTACGGTACTTTTTTCAACATTCATGAGCCCGCAAGAAAAGCGAAGGTTAACTCAAAAGTTTTCTATGGAAGCCTAAGACAACTTGCATTAGCCTTTCGCTATGTACACTTGTGCTTTTATATTTGAATGCTCACTTGCAAGTGTACTCGTATGTATGTGTGCGGTTGTAGGCTTTCATGTATGACACCTACGTACACTTGTAAATTCTTTTGAAAATTAATTCCTTTCTGTTTTTTGTTAACAACTAAGATCTGCTTATTCATAGTATTTACATAAGTATTTGCTTTTTATATTTTCATATTACTTAAAAACTAAATGCGAACAAAAAAAAATACCAAAGGCATCTGGCAAAGAATCCCTTCATTTGTGACTGCAATCTTCGCTGGCTGGCTGATTACTTGCACAAAAACCCCATCGAGACAAGTGGCGCACGCTGCGAGGCCCCAAAGCGCATGCATCGGCGACGCATTGAGTCATTGCGTGAGGAGAAATTCAAATGTGAGTACATACATACATACATATATACTCGTACTTATATGAACATACTAAATATAAGGGTTATGCATGCTGAAATATGTTTGTAAAAAAGCGTGAGTTGCAAAAAGTTAAGATGTGCATATGTTTGACGCGGTGTCGCTGCTCTAGGCATAAAGTATTAAGAAAAAAAACTAAAAAAAAATAGCGTGATATTAAAAACAAAAAAATTTAACACGTCCTTACAGAAGTCAAAGACGATTTATGTATTTCCATTCGTTAGCACATGCTGGCCGTTGTAGATATGTATGAGAGCAGCACTTCAATCAGAAAATAAGAAATCCAGTTTTTTTTTACAGATTTCAACTTTATTCTTACGTATTTTTAAATTTAATATTAATAATATTTTGTAAAAAGGTAGACGAAGCGCATTTAATTTAAGTGGTTATATGCACTTATAAATTTAAAAAAATCGAAGTTTTTATTCTTATATGTATATCGAATGTATATATATTTGAAAATATTCGCCGAATATTTTTAATTGATCTGGCAAATAGTTTCGGAGATATGAGCGTATTTGCAAGAATTTTTTTAAAAACGCTGTTTTCAGCGTCGGTGAAGAAAAGTTCGCCGAAACGGCTAGACTTAGCTGACCATTCGTCCTGGTTTGGCCGGGATTGTCCGAAGTTAAACGTCCGGCCATCCCGGGCTTAGAAATTAAAAGAAAAAGAATGAATAGTGTTGCTCCCGGATTTTGCCGGGACAAATGTATCATCCAAGGCTAGACCGATCGACTTGAAATTTACACACGAACTTCTTAGATATATTTTTCAGGTATAAGCCGAAGGTATATAATTTTTGATAATAATTTCAATCTTTTAGCCAGCCACTCTGAAGTGTAAATTTTTGCACAAAAAACAACTTGTTTCTTGGGAAGCCGTCATTTTGTCGAAAATCAAAATTATGACTAGTCATTTAATCATTACCTGTATTTATCTATTGTAGTAATATTCTTTTTTTTTTGTTTTTGTACTTAAAATAATTTTAAGTAGAAAATCTTCTTCACCGCGAGACACATTATTTCGAAGGTTCTTCTGGAGATCGGCTAAGGGATCAAGGGAATCCAAAATTTTTCAAAATGAATAACTGATAAATAAAATACATTAAATTCTATAAATGTACATTATAGATATATTAAATAATAACACTCTTCAAAAAAACAAAAAAAAATTATAAAATAACGCGTTTATTTTTGCAAGTGTATATAACCGTTTTATTGCCAATATTGTTTATTTTTTGGTCTATTTATTTCTTTTTTTATTTTTATTCTTTTTTATGTTTTTGTTTTATAATTTTCATTAAAAACAAGCAAAATAATAATTTTGTATATGCAAAAAACCTAAATTTCTTCTTTATAAACCTTTCTCCTCCTACCTCCTGTCTCTCATCAATTATTTAGACGCAAAATTAGCTGTATAATTATTATTAAAATAAATATTTTAAATAGTAAGTAGTAATTATTAATACGAATAAAGAAAAAAAAACTGCTTCAAAAACGTAGTTTCTGTACCACAAACACATTGACGCCTAAAAGCATGCTTCGCACATGTCGACTGTGATTATCATTAAAATTACCATATGCACAATAACAAATACATAAGCTGTACTTTCGCTCACACCCACAAATGCAACCATAGATTTTTTAATTAACACATCTATTTCATTTTACCGTTTTTTTTTTATTCGCAGGCTCTTGGGACGATATGCGTATTAAATTGTCGAGCGAATGTCGCGCAGATGTCGATTGCCCGGCAATGTGTCAGTGTGATGGCACTTCAATTGATTGTTCAGGTCGTGGCCTCAAAGAAATTCCGCGCGATATACCGCTACACACCACCGAACTGTAAATACGAATCATTCTCAACTCTTTTCCTGTTATTTTGTTATTGCTATTTCTGTTATGGTTGTTGATTATTTCCAAATATGCAATTGCATTGATTTATTTGACCTAAAAAGTTGCCTGCTTTCAATTCATTTCATTAATTTTTCAAATTTTTCTTGCTTTCGTTTTTGTTTTTTTTTTTTGTTGCTTACTCTCTCGCAGTCTTTTGAACGACAATGAACTGGGGCGCATCAAATCCGATGGTCTCTTTGGACGTCTGCCACATCTGGTTAAACTCGATTTGCGACGCAATCATATAACCGGCATTGAACCGAATGCTTTTGAGGGTGCCAATCGTATACAGGAATTGGTTTTGGCCGAAAATAAAATACGTGAGATTTCGAATAAAATGTTTTTGGGTTTGCATCAGTTGAAGACGCTGTAAGTACATGCCATATATAGAATTTTTCTCGTTTTCTTTATACACTTTTTTTGTGACAATTGATTTTAGTTTTTATTGTTGTTGTTGCATTCCATAATATAATATTAAAAATAACTCTATTACGATCAACTGACACTAAGTAATTGAAGCTTAAAATAACATTTTTTGTGGAGTCTGTGATGATGAAACTTCCTATCGGCTCTGGGCCATGGTCTTGAAATGGACTAAGGCACCACCAAAATATTGGATATTACAGACTTCACAATGACTCTGTGAACGGTATGGACCAGCTTCAGTTTCGTAGAGACCAAGTAATTTATGCAGTCGCACTTTTCTTGATTACGCGCAACTTTTTCAGTACTTGTGTGATTATTATTTTTTGACCTACTAGCCCACATAACCTCAAAATATTTACCAGATTTTTTGTTTACTTCAAAAATATTTCGCAAGTGAAATTTTTCTCTGTCAAACTTGCCTAATAAATATTGCTCTGAAGCAAATAGAGCATTTCGGCCAGACAAGCTTAAATTTATGTTTGTTTTTGTTGCAATAATCTGTTATAAATGATTATGCTGCCACTTTAAATCAATTGCACACACAGTTACAAGCCTAAGTTTTATTTTGTATGCAACTGACGTTTCATTAATCGTTTTAGGAATCTTTACAACAATCAAATCTCTTGTGTGATGCCCGGTTCTTTTGAATTCCTGTCATCGCTCACCTCACTGTAAGTACCAACATACAATACATATCCACACATATACATACAATAATTATTTACATGCATTACAAGCATTAATTAGATAAATTACGGAAAATTCTCTTTGCATCAAAATTATGTTATGGACCATACATCCTGCAAACACACACACACATATATATATATATATATAATATATACATATATGCGTAAATATATAGTAAACAGCAAGCAGCTGAAGAAGCAGCTAATTCATCTGACACTAGAGTGTTTAGTACATAAAGTAGTAGCGTTACCATATGCATTTGTATATATGTATGTTTGTGTGCGTTGCTGCAAGTTGCATTTATTTATTGACTCCAGTGCGCAGTGTGATTTGAAAAAGTCTATACATGTGCATATGTATGTACGAGTATATGAGTTTGAGTAGTTCATAGATATTTATATATACTAAATGTGTAATTAATTGCTTCTTCATTGTATAAATTGAGTAAATTGCGTACGGAGAAGTTTTTATCAAAGAAATGGGGTTAATGGGTTTGATTGTTATGGGCTGAACTTCACAGCAGTAGCGCGGTTGTGCTATATACTACCGGGTGTAAGCGCTAAAAATGCACATGCTGACATCTACGCACATAACATATGTATGTATGTAGTTGCTAGCATGTAAATGTGAGAACGTGCAACTTGTAAATACCGAAATTTCGGGATTGTCGATGCTCACCACGAATTTCCTTTAAAAGTCGAAATTTGAATTAAGCAAATTTGCAGTTAATAATCCCTGGATTGAATAACGATAATCGCAGATTTTTTAGAGTCTAAAAAAATTTGGAAATTCAAAAGAATATTTATTAAAATTATTTCACTAATATTTTTAATTTTAATATTCATATAAGTACTTGATTTTGATCGGTCAGTTTGTATGGCAGCTATATGCTATAGTGGTACGATATCGGCGTTTCCGACAAATGCGCAGCTTCTTGAGCAGAAAAGGGCGTACGCAAAATACGGACGGGCATGGCTAAATCAAGGCAGTTTCTCACGCTGATCATTTATACATAATTAAACTTAAAGATAACAAAATATTAAAAAAAGGCATATTAAAAATTAAAAAAAATTTAATTTTTTAAATTATTAGTTTCCAAAATAATCGGTTTCGTATAGGTATAAAAAAAACTCTCGGGATCCCGTAGCTCACTACGCAATTACTCAATAACTTGAGCACTTACATCTCTCTGTCTATATGTACATAGGCATGCATAATTCAGTTTCACTGTTTACTCGAATAAAATTGGAAACAACGCGCCGCTAGTAAAGTGCGTTGGAAGCGTAAAAGTACAAGTAATTTAATTGAACTCCAATTTATGGTCGCCATAGACAGCTTTGCAGACCGAGCAATGTGCGATGCGGTGTTTCAAATAATTGCCTGTGTGCTTGAGGAGTTGAATACAATACATTAGCAGATGGATATGGTCACACGCACACTGCTGCAAGCATGCGGGGCGGTCGGGCCTGCTGTGATAACGACAAACAGACGAGCGCTGATGTTGCCACCTTGCTTACATACAATTGCACATATGTGCAGTATTATTGGCATGTCCAGACTCCTCAGGCTGTCGTCGCCGCTGTTTTTGTTGTTGTATGCTGTTGCTGCTGCTGTGTTCGACTTGCAATATGTTGCTATTGCCAAGCATCCCTTTGTAGCTTTGTCGAATGATTTAAGTGCCAAACGCCGCAATGAGCAACATGTACACGCGCACAGTTCAAAGTATGTGGTAGCAAGTGCAGGTTCATGCGTGAATATGTAAGGGCGCACAGTAATATTAAGCATAAAATTTCACTGTGCGTGTGTATATTTTTATATCCTGAAGAGGGTATATTAAGTTTGCCACGAAGTTTGTAACACCCACATGGAAACGTAGGAGCTCCTATATAGTATATATGCACATATGTACAATATAATTTATCAGCGTGACGAGCTGAGTTGATTTAGTCCTGTCCATATGTATATACGCTAATTAGTCCCTCAGTTTTTGTGATATCGATTTGAAAATTTGCACACGTCCTTTTCTCCCCAAAAAGCTGCTCATATGTCGTAACAGCCGATATCGTATTACTATAGCATATAGCTGCCGTACAAACGATCAATCAAAATCAAGTTCTTGTATGGAAAACTTTTTTATTTGTCAGGATATCTTCACGTAAGCTTGCATAGAATATTTTCCAGCGCAGCGCTACAATCTGCAAACATGTTGTTCAGATCGGTAAATTATAGCATATAGCTGTCATACAAACTGACCGTTCAAGCTCAAGTCCATGTATGAAAAACTATTTTTTTATTTCACAATATATGTTAACGAAATTTGGCACAGCTGCGCTATAATCTCCGAACATATTGTTCAGATCGGACCACTATAACACATAGCTGTCATACAAACTGATCTATCCAAATTACGATAAAGAGATTTTATACTCTTTTATGCTATATTACAATATAAAGAAAAAGCACCTAAAAAGGGTATTATAGCTTCGGTGCTGGCGAGTTTAATGTGTTTTTTTTTTTTTTTTTTGAATTTGTAGGTCGTAGCGCGTATGTATGTAAGTTGGTCTGCAAGTAAGCACATGAAACACTTGAAACACAGAATCACCCTAATTTGATGTGCACAATAAGACTACGCAACTGCACAGATATGTACATATGTATGTATATACTGACACACTGCACATATCTACGTACCTTGAACATGCATATGTATTTGTGTATGCAAGCCACTATAAAAGTTTTTCACATTTGTTAAATGATTGAATAAAGCCACTCATAGTTTTATTGTTAGCACATTTTACATACCTACCGACCTACATGCACATACATGCATATGTAAATAAATGTATATGCATATATTTTTTCTTATATAAGTGCGCCTGTAAGTAGGGATTTTGAGGGTCTCTTATAAAAAAAAAATGCCACCAAGTGGAAAGGGGTATGTTGCTGTCAATTGTCTATAAAGAGACACCTGCGCAATAGCTTCGTGTTGTTTTTATTGTTGCGTCACTGTGGTGAATGCAAAGTGACTCACAAAAATGTGTTTCCAAGTTTTTGGTAGCCATATTATAAAAAAAACAAATTGATGGCAAATGACGCAGTAGAATAAAATGAATGTTGAATAAATAAGAAAAGTGTGCAACAAGTTACGTTTTTTGAGTTAGATCAATTTTTTTCGAGTAAGCCCACTTTGCTAACCACTCAACAGTCACATTTAGTTTGTTTTTTTAAGTTTTTGGAGACTAATAGCAACGGAAAATTCACTGAGAGCGGCCTTTTCAATGGTTTTTCTAACATTGTCTCGTTTTTCTGCGTCTCTTGGTTTTCTATTGCATTCGCGGTTGGAGCCCAAGGAAAAATGGATCGTCCGTATATTGCTAATGTACGTAGTGACGTCAGTTTTCAAACTCTGCATGGACAAATCTTTTTAAGCTCATGCCACCGAGGTCAGACAATCCAAGCGAACTCCTAACATATGTCTGCTTGAGTTCTGATTATGCTAATTATCTCCTGTGCATGCCATATATAGCGAGGCTTCCAAAATCTTGAAAAGCTTTTTCCAACTTTATTGAGATTTTTGGTGCCAATTTATTGAAGTCAACTTCAGAATCTTTTTTAAAGATTAATTTAGTTTTAGAATCATATATTACGTAGGGTGAAAACTTGAAAGCTTACAGAAGATTATTTTAGTTTTAAAATAATAATAAGATATTAACGAGGGTGAAAGCTCTGGTAAAGTGGAAATACATACTACCACGATCCAGCTAATTTAAAGTCATAAGATGCAAGTTATTGATTGTTGATGAAATTTAATCTTAAATATTGTACATATTATTATTGACAGATCGGTTATTGGTGAGGAACGATACATAACTCTACTTATGAGTCTACTCATAAAATTTCATGCAAAAGAAAATTTATTATAAATTTTTTGAAAAGACAACAGAACGAAATTGAACCGTTAAATCAGAAATGGACATAGATCTTATACATTTCTAGTAATTTAATAAAATATTAACCTTTATATAAAGAAAAAGAGATTTCGATCGATTTTCTAGCAGTATTTTTTCAGATATCAACTCATAGTCATAATTTATGCTTTATTTTCATTATAGACATATATTATTGTACATTTCTTACAAAATTTCAACTAGATTAAACTTTACTTCCATAATTTTCATAATCGAGGCCTAAAATAGTTATTGGCATACTTTTATGAGCTACTGTAGCCAAAAAAGTAATAAGAAACGAGAAAAAGCCAACACTATGCCAACTAACCCACACACTTATGTATATGCGAAAATACCAATAACATGAAAGTACTAAAAACCGCTATGACAATTCATTTCCAACACTTGACTTTTTTTTTGCAATACTTTCCCCCATATTTGCATTACCACATCACTATGCAAACTCATCACTATACCGCACACATACAATACATACACATATACAATATAAACGTGGACCGATATCTATAAGCCCACATTTCAATTTACACTTTACACTTCTTCTACTTTCATACTTTCCTCGCACAGCAACTTGGCTGCCAATCCATTCAATTGCAACTGTCATTTGGCCTGGTTTTCCGAGTGGCTACGAAAGAAGGGTCTGGTTGGCGGTGCGGCACGTTGTGCTGCCCCCTCGAAAGTACGTGATATGCAAATTAAGGATCTGCCACATAACGAGTTCAAATGCACATCCGACAACAATGAAGGCTGTTTGGGTGATGGCTATTGTCCGCCCGCCTGCACTTGCACCGGCACCGTTGTACGCTGTTCGCGTAATCAATTAAAAGAGATACCACGTGGCATACCGGCGGAAACGTCCGAGTTATATCTGGAATCGAATGAAATAACAATGATACATTTGGATCGGATACGACATTTGAAGGCATTGACGAGATTGTAAGTAGACAGTTGTTGAGAGGAATGAGAATGAATGTTGCTGGCGGAAACATGAGAAATGCCGTAGCAAAGTACTTTTGAAAATTTATGTTGCAAATTTGATCCATTTTTATTTTTCTGCTCTTTTTTCCTTAACAGAGATTTGAGTAACAATCAAATCACGTTCCTTTCTAATTACACCTTCGCCAACCTGACGAATCTGTCGACGCTGTAAGTATACTCGTACATGAACATTTTTTCAAACTATTTTGAATGGATTTTTTGAGGTGCAAAAGACAGTTGGCTGTCTGCTGAAATTGAATGCAGAATACTAATATCTTAATATACAGGATCCATAACCAAATCAGACTGTAGCAAAATTGCTGATATTTCTCAAAGAGATAGTATCAAATAGACTTAATGATATTATGGAATTAATATAAACTGTAGACATTGGTTTGTGAATTCCATAAATTTTCTTAAACACCAATACGAAGGTATTACTATTTCCTAAGAAAACACACCTTTTCGGACTCGAAGTTTATAAATTTTGAAAATATTTCATATTGATTTCTACCTTCCATTGATCTATAAAACACCCGAAAGATCCCTAGAATCCTTTCTTCAATTGGTCTATAAAATAGCCAAAAGATGCCTAGAATCCCTCCAACTACAGATAGGTCGACTGACTACCAAAATTCATTGATTTTAGCTGACATAAAACTCCTTCCAATTTGTTTAACTTTTTCTACCTTCCGTTGATCTATAATATACCCAAAAGATCTCTAGAATCGTTCCTTCAATTGGTCTATAAAATACCTAAAAGATGGCTAGAATTTGTCTAACTACAGATATGTCGACTAACTACCAAAATTCATTCGGATTAACGAGTACATCTGATCAAGAGCAATAACTTCTAGAGAATTTAATCAACAATTTGGCAATGGTTTTTAAATGGTTTGAAAACCATTTCTGTTCCTCAAAAGACTTCGAACAATGAAACAAACTAATCCAACTATTATAGCAATCTTATGTTGCCTGTCGGGAACCATCGTTTAGTAAAGAGTCAAAAAATGCATTACTCACTCCCTCAGCTCCCAAATGCCAATTAATAGTAGTCAGCATTTCTCTTAATTCTCCATACAGTTCGTTTTCTACTAGAAATTATTAGAAACTATGTCCTTCGCGGCAATCTGCCCCGAAACCTAACATAACCTCAATGACAGCTGTTGGTCTACGTGCATTTGTTATGCCTCATGCTGATTTCAAGATCTTTACTGATCTCAAGTTTCCTCAGAATGTGTAGGAATGAGACTATTTTTGTGAGCAGATTACTGCATCCATTCAGAGTTCAGCAGTCAATACTTTAACTCACTACAAATACACAATTATCAAAGCACTTATCCAATATTTTTTCAATTACAGCATTATATCCTACAACAACTTGCAATGTCTGCAACGTTACGCCATGTCGGGTCTACAAAATCTGCGCGTACTCTCCCTTCACGGCAATCGTATATCCATGCTGCCAGAGGGCACATTTGAAGATATGAAGTCACTAACACACATGTAAGTACCTCGTACAAATAAATTATGTAAGTGCGAAATTAAATGTTGTCGTATATTTTCAGTGCGCTAGGCAGCAATCCATTGTACTGTGATTGCTCACTCAAATGGTTCTCGGACTGGATAAAATTGGACTATGTAGAGCCGGGTATAGCGCGTTGTGCCGAACCCGATTACATGAAGGATAAATTGATACTCTCGACGCCCTCACACAACTTTGTCTGTAAGGGCAAAGTGAGCAATGAGATTATGGCTAAATGTGATGCCTGTTACACGCATCCCTGTGAGAATAAGGCGCAGTGCATACCGTTGCCACAGCGTGACTACCAATGCCTTTGCCTCCCCGGTTATCATGGCAAACATTGTGAATTCATGATCGACGCCTGCTATGGCAATCCGTGCCGCAACAATGCCACCTGCACGGTGCTCGAAGAGGGACGTTTCAGCTGTCAGTGTGCGCCAGGCTATACAGGCGCGCGTTGCGAGACGAATATCGACGATTGTCTCGGCGATGTTAAGTGTCAAAATAATGCTACATGTGTGGATGGTGTGGAATCGTATACTTGCGAGTGTCAACCGGGCTTTACAGGTGGGTGTGTTGACGTTTATGAGGGTTGAAATAATTGTTTTTCTTATTTTTATATTTAAACTTTTTTTTTTAATTTTTTCATCGACATTTGTCTCATATTTCTAATTTTTTTCATATTCATATTCAATTTTTTTTAAATTTTTTTCATCGACATTTATCTCATTTTTCTGTAACTTTATATTTTTTATATAAGACAATTTTTAATTTTTTTGTTATTTGTGCACATATTAACTATTTTTTCACTTTTTTTCTTTTTTCATATTTAAAAAAAAATATTTTTAACGTTTTTTCATCGAATTCGAATGTATTTTTTTGATTTAATAAAAAATTAAGAGTTATATATACATACGTATACGATTATATATATATTATTTCATTTATTTAATTATTTTTTTTTGTTTTGTTTTTTCACATATTAATTTTTTTTTTTTAATATAATATGTTTTCTAATATTTCCTACAGGTCAATACTGCGACACGAAGATTAACTTTTGCAGCGACGAGTTTAATCCTTGTGCAAATGGCGCCAAATGCCACGATCACTTCACCCACTACACCTGCGAGTGTATGGCCGGTTTTCATGGCATCAATTGTACGCAAAACATTGACGATTGTCAGAATCACATCTGTCAAAATGGTGGCACCTGTATCGACGGCATCAACGATTACATCTGCAAATGCCCAGATGATTTTACTGGCAAATATTGTGAGGGTCACAATATGGTTTCAATGATGTATCCACAAACATCACCCTGTCAAAATCACGAATGCAAACACGGCGTTTGCTTCCAGCCAAATCCCTCGGGCTCAGATTATTTATGTAAATGTCATCCCGGTTATACTGGCAAGTGGTGCGAGTATTTGACCAGTATTAGCTTCGTGCATAACAATTCGTTTGTGGAAATGGAACCATTACGCACCAAACCGGATGCGAATGTAACCATCGTCTTTAGTAGCTCCGAACAGAATGGCATACTCATGTATGATGGTCAGGATGCGCATATAGCTGTGGAGCTCTTCAACGGGCGCATACGCGTTAGCTACGATGTCGGCAATTATCCAGTGTCCACAATGTATAGCTTCGAAATGGTGGCCGATGGTAAATATCATTGTGTCGAACTGTTGGCTATCAAGAAAAACTTTACGCTGCGCGTCGATCGCGGTCTTGCAAGATCGATTATAAATGAAGGTTCCAATGATTTTCTCAAATTGACCACACCCATGTTTTTGGGTGGTCTACCGCCCGAACCGGGGCAGCAAGCCTATAAGAATTGGCAGATACGCAATTTGACCAGCTTCAAGGGCTGCATGAAGGAGGTGTGGATAAATCACAAGCTGGTGGACTTTGAGAATGCTGCCAAGCAGCAGAAGATAACACCAGGATGTGCATTGCTCGAAGGCGAGACGGCGGAGGATGATGAGCAAGACTTTATGGACGAAACGCCGCATATTAAGGAGGTAAATAAAATGCAAATTAAATATTATATACCTATATATAAACGAAATCACATATTTTCCACGCTGCTTTCTTATACAGGTGGATCCTTGCGAAAATCACAAATGTCGTCGTGGCAGCCGCTGTGTTCCTAACTCGACATACCGTGACGGTTATCAATGCAAATGCAAGCATGGTCAGAAGGGCCGTTACTGCGAACAAGGTGAGGGCACTACAGAGCCCGCAACAATAACTGGTATTAAGCACATTATTCATTCATACTTCATGCTGTGGTTTGCATGCGCATAAGTATGTACATTTGTATGTGCATACTTCTGTGGAGCCATATTCATTTAAACATTTATCGAAATGCTGATACTAACTTTGCATGCCGTTATATTCCTAAATTAGTATAGTTTGTTAGCTTAGCTGTTGTAATGACCTTAAGCTCAACTTTTTTACGTTTAATTTTGCCATATATTTTGAAAAATATCTTGTTTTCACTTACAGTGGCGTCCACTTGCCGCAAAGAACAAGTACGAGAATATTATACCGAAAACGATTGTCGCTCACGTCAACCGCTCAAATATGCGAAATGTGTTGGCGGTTGCGGTAATCAGTGCTGCGCTGCAAAAATAGTGCGAAGACGAAAGGTGAGAAACTCAAAATATTATATAAAACAAGAAAATCTGTTTGCGGGAAATTCATCGGGCGAAAGTAAAAACTGTAAAAACGTTTCGAATTTAGAAATAATTAAAATTTTTAATTAATTATATAAGCAACATTCCAAACGAGTTTATAGCAAAATAGTCTCGGTTATAGGTAATTTAACCTATTTTATGTTAATTGGCTAGTCTTTAAACTAAATTTCATATTTTTGATAAAGTTTTGAAATACGAAAGTGAGTATTTTTCCAATACTCACAATTTTCAAGTTAAAACAATATATTGTGGGTAAACTTTTATTAGGGGTTACATCCACTTGCAAGACCGAAAAAATGCGTTTTTTTGTGAATTTTTTTGAAGCGGCACTTCAATTTATGACTTATAAAAAATTAACATAAAGAGAATTTAAACTACTTTGAGTATCAGCGATAAATTTTTAAAAATATTGGATCCCCTTGTTCCTATAGCCGATCTCCAGAAGGACCACCGGAAAAAGGTGTCTGACGGTGAGGAAAATATTTCGGCGTCAAATTACCTGAAACCAAAAACCAATGAAATTTAGTAATATGATAGATGAATACAGATAATGGTTAAAGGAATAGCGAAAATTTTGATTTTTGAAAATTTGGCGGCTTTCCAAACTAAAATTCATTTTTTGTGAGAAAATTTACAATTCAAAGTGGCTTAAAAAATCGAAATTATTGTCAAAAATCTTATTCCTTCGATCATTACCTGAAAAATATATTTAAGAATGGCATGTTAAAATTTCCAGCCTCACCGACTCTGAAAACAGCGTTTCGAGAAAAATGAGTGTAAAGTTTTGAGAGCCTATTACACTGAGTTAAAAAATTCTTACAAATACCTTCATATCTCCAAAACTATTTGTCGGATCAACTTGAAATATTCTCAAACACATGTACATTCGAAAAATGCAAAAATCGATTTTTTGAAAACTACGAGTGGATATAACCCCTTAATGACTTCATTTCCTATTATTGATACATTTAAAAACTACAAAAGTTAGATAAGCATTTCTCGAATACTTAAAAGTTACAAGTTAGAGCAATATATTGTGTGTACTTTAATTTACGATAAAAGGCTAGTATTCAAACTTCATGTCATAGTTTTGTTAAATTTTTTTAAATTCAAAAGTGGGGTTATTATTTCTTGAATTCTCAAAGTTTACAAGTTAGAGACAAATATTGTAAGGAAATTTTTATTTTATGCTTACTTTATTTTATATAATTAATAAATTTTTTAATTACAAAATTGAGGTTAGTACTTTTTTAATTCTCATACTTTACAAGTTAGAGCCAGATATTGTAGTTAAACTTTTATTTTATTATTTATAACTAGTCTTTAAACTTCATTTCATATTATTGATAGAGTTTAGAAACAAAAAAGTGAAGTTCGTAATGCTTGAATTCTCAAAATTCAAAGTTAAACCACGATATTGCAAGGAAACCAATTATATGTAAATGACATAGATGATTTAATTATTAATAAATAGTTTTTGAATTGACATGTAATTGTATATTGATAAATTTGCGTAGTTCAAAAGTGAGGTTAGTTTTCTTGTATATACACAATTTTCAAGTTACAGCCAAAAATTGTAGGGAAAGGGTACTTAGATTATTTGTAAGCGAGAATTATTCTAACCTAACTTCTACTTTAATGGCTCTCGTATATATTTACAGGTCCGCATGGTCTGCAGCAATAATCGCAAATATATAAAGAATTTAGATATCGTGCGTAAATGTGGATGTACAAAGAAATGCTACTGACTGGAAGATGCGACTACCCAAATGCACAATAGTAGCTTAGATTTAAATTTAGGACAACATAGTAATAACAATAATTTTAATATTAATAATAATAACAGTAATTTAAGTACTAGCACTAGTGATAGCAACGATAATGAATGTATATTTAACTGTAGCAACACAAAAGTTTTACTAATATCTAACAATAACAATAACAACACTAAAACCGGGAGACAAATGATGGCCGCTCAAGAGACAAAGACTGCGGATGAAAGAGTAGAAAATGTGGCGAGCGCAAACATAACAAATACAAGTGGTGGTGTGATAGTTGGTGTGGTCAGAACACACAACCGTGGCAACATCATGTACAACGCGCAGGAAAGAATACGGCAAACAGCCGGTGGTTTGCACGTGACAGGTGGCATATTAGTCGATGAGAGCGCTAGTTACGAGACTGATGAAGAGACGGAGCGTATGCAATTGAACCCAAGCGGTGATGAGGGTTGGGATGATGAATATGATGATGATGATGAGGATGCAGATGAAGACGAAATGGACAATACAGACGAGGATGGGGACCAAGACGCTGACGCGGTCGCTGCGCCTTACGTTGACAGCGTAGCTACAGTGAATGTGGCTGCGCAAGAGCGCGGTAGCGCCACATACGAAGCGCTACCCGAAGCCAAAGGTCTTGTACAAGCGCTGATAGGCGATGAAAATGAATCGATTAAAAATATGCCGGACATTTTGAAGACGAAAAGCATTTCCGCAGGCGCAAGTAAAGTCGATGATGAGGAAGAAGATATGGGTTTTGATGAGGATGACGAACGTATTGCGATAATTGTCGAGCGGCAACGTGGCAATGCAAACGACAATGATAAGGGCTTCATGAATGAGGAGGGCAGTGGCGCAAGTGGTGGGGCATACAGACGGACCGAAGCAAATGGGTACAAAAATAACAGATTTAGATTAGATTATGCTGAGAAATATCGTAGGAAGCAACAAAAATTGCAAACGGAATATACGAATAGAGGCGTAGCCGATGCGCGAGAAGGCAGCGGCAATTTTGCCAACGATGATGATGATGACGATGATGATGATAGCGATGACGTTAATGATGATGACGATGATGATGATGGCGTTGACGATGATGTGGCTAGCAACGCTGACGCTAACGATGATGCCGACCGCCAAGAAGGTGATGGTTATTTTAATTCGAAGCATACGAAATCGAGTAATCGGTATTTCCGTAAAAATACGAATGACGCAATTAAAATAATCTCAACACCGCTAGGCAAGGTCGGTATCGTGTATCAGCAGACGCCGACAAATGAGGATGGCAACAACAACAACAACGCCAACAGCAAAAACAAAAATCAGGATACACTGGGCGACAAGAAGACAAGTTCGTTTACGGACTTCGATGCACTGTCGCCCGATCCTGAAAGCAGTCATCGCTTAGCATCATCTCATCCAAAAATTACGCCAGTCTTGACACCCGATGGCAAGGTTGCACTGCTTTATCGCGGCGATTCGGAGAATTCCAAATACGAACCGATACGTAATTTAACGCATAAATTTAACAACAACAACAACAGCAATAATAATAATAAAAACGACTTTACGGACAATAAAGCACTTGCTAGCGGTACAAGTAGTAAGGATACGTCTGATTTTCCAAACAACGACAGCGAAGATGAATCGGCTGACGAGTCAGAAGACGATTACGATCTGGATAGTGACAGCAGCAGCAGCAGTAGCAGCAGCGGCAAAGATAGATCACCAATACATTCGCGCAAAAACAATGTAAACCCCACAGTCGAGACGCAAAAGGCGGCCATACAAAATCCTGCCACCGATGCTGACGCACCCGTCGCTGCGGGCGGCTCATTCATCATACGCCCCACCGACTCCGTGCTGCCCATGATAAATCGCCCACTCTCCGAAGTGCTCGGCATAAAGAAGAATCAATTCAAACAATTCCGCATCAAAGATATACCAACAGCGCCGCCAAATACCGACACAGCCGGCGATCCACGTTCGCTGGCTGGCACCTCCATCGATCGCACACTCGACACAACGACACTACACTTCCTTACAAAAGTCAATTTAGCCGAATATCCAACATCGATGAAGACGCGTAATTTCGATTTCGATTTTAGTCGCGACAATACAATGCTGGACGAACGTTCGCGTCACAAAGAACACCAATTCCATCAGCAACAACAGCAAGGCACCGCAATTGTTGGCCCCAACGGCAGTTCGGGCAATAGCAATAACAAGTTAAATACAATTGCCAACGAAGAGGTGCTCGCCAAAACCGAAGTGGTCAATTTGGCGATAATACCACACTTCGATGAGGAGCTCGAACGCCTACAACGTTTGCGTGAGCATGAAACACGCCGACACTACCGGCAACGCTATCGCCAAAAGCCGAGCGAGGAGGAGCTGTCGGGTATACATTGCATCATGCAGGCCATGATGGGCATAGCGGCCATATCGACAGTGTTCGGCATGTTGGGCACGTTCTTTAAGCAACGAATACTCGATCAAATACGCTTGATGCATTGGTAGTACAGCAAGGGTATTCGATTGTATGGCGAATATTATATGTATAGAATGTTGTCGACAATTACAATTGAATACCCCAGTTCATCCGCACAACGACATCTGCAACGTCATCATCACCATTACCATCATCTCCATCAGCGACATCTCCAACATCCGCAACATCGTCAGCATAAACAACAACACCAACAAAAATACAACACATACACGAACAACATGAACAACGCAGCTATTGTAAGCAGAATTTATTGTAAATCTATTTCCTTGCACCCACACAAATGCATAGCAATAACAAAGAAGCTTTTAATACTACTATTTACTATATAAATACCTACGTACATACAAGTATTTACATGCATACACTAAAACGAAACTAAACACTATGCAACGCCATCAAACAAACGAATATACGCTGTTGTAGGCTTTCGAGTTTAATTTCGAATTCGAAAATCAAAAAAACTTTTTCTGTATAAGATTACTGCATTTTCTTATACAAATGGTGCCGAAATTTAAAAGTAATTATTTTGTTTTTTAGAAATTTTGGAATTATTAGAGTATATTTTTGACAATTTGAAAGCAAAATATGTTCCAAAAGTAAAACTATTGCTAAATATCTAAATATAATTTACATAAAATTTTACTTATTTTATATACATTTTCAAATCCTTTACTTTTTTTTGTTTTTCTATTAATTTTCGACGGCAAAAAATTATACAAAATCTTTTTAAAGCTTCAAGTTCATAGTCAAAATTTTTTTTTATAAAATATTTATGCTCAAAACCCTTTTCAAAAATTTCAAACTTGCACAAATTTTTTAAAAATTATCATATTTTTAATACAAATTATATAAAATTCAATAAAAAAAATATAATTCATACAGAAATATTTTTTTTATTAAGTGTTTATTCTCAAACATATGTAACAAAATTTTTTAAATTCCAAACTTGCACAAATTTCATGTAAATTTTCATATTTTTAATAAAAATTATAAAAAAATTCAATGAAAAAAAATTAAATTCATATAATATCAATTTTTCATAAAATATTTGTTCGCAAAAATATGTAAATCATTTTTAAAATTCCAAATTTGCGAATTTTTTAATAAAAATCTCCACATTTTTAATACAAATTTGAAAAAAACTTCGAAATCAAACGCCATGCCTACAGCACACACCTACATATGTATACTCTATACACACACATACATAATATTTATATATAAAAAAAAAAATATTTTGCTTACGCTGAAAATTTAACATAAAATGTAACTACATACATGCAACTTGTAACTAATAATCTAACAACCATTTGTACACAAACTAACAATATGACATACATACATACTTACATATATAGCTACTCTTAATCATATTCATAAACGCATACATACTCGTATATGCCCCTTTTTAAATGTATTTGTATTTTCCCCACTTTAAGCATAAGCTGAAAAATATGTATGTAAACTATATACTATCCACTACTACATACACACTATTATTGTATTGTCACTATACATACTAATGCTAAAAAACATCACAAAAAATTAACACTTCCTTAAAAAACTCATATTAACGGATTCGTGCAAGAAGCTACCCAGATGAAGAAAAAAACTATGGCGCACTGAACGCAACACGCTGCAGCGGTAAAGCGGAAAAAATTATTATAAATAGTTGAAAACGCTTACAAATACATTTGACATCGCCATGCGTCGCGAAAGTTAAGTCAGCGAAAACCGAACCGAAACAGCAGAGCGTACGACCGCGTAGCGCTAGTAGGCGTGGTAAAGCGTGCGAGCATAATGAACGTGATCACTAAGGATGTTTTTTGAATATTTGTTTAGTTTTTCATACTTCTCCCTTAACTTTCGACAAGGTTAAAACACTATGTAAAAAAAAACCAACAATTTCAACACCTAACACGCACTGTCATTCAAACTGCACTTGTCCAGCAAAAATTTATAAAAATTTACAAAGTATATACAAACAAACATACATGACGTCCAAACGAACACAACGCCTCCCTAGCAAATTGGCAGGCTACCAATTAGTGTCAATTCAAAACCCACCACACACATAGCCACGCACCAACCCACATACATGAGCAATTGGTCATCATCCGCAGTCAAAAATTACTCCCTTTGTTCCATACAAAATGCCATTTTGAATATTTTTATACGAACATTCAAGAAAGCAAATCTCATTAGATCACACAAAAGCATGTCAAAACACTATAAAAGTTTTAAAAATTACAAAATAATACATTTACGCGCGCCAATGCAAGCAAATAAAATGCAATAACCGCAGATAAAGAAATTACAAGTAAAATGATTGTAAACAAAAAACAAAACAAGAATTGGCAGGCGAAAATAAGTGTAATGTTAAAAATAGTTGCAATATAAATTTTAAAAAGCACAATTGTATGAAGTTGAAAGTGGCTTTTAAAATAAATGAAATTATCAAATAAGAACATGTTGAAAAATTAGCGCTTAAGCAACAGGAAGAAAGTATTTATTTAAATTAATTAAAAAATAAGACAAATATTGCAGAAAAGCACGCAGCAGTAGTCGCGGCATACATGCTGCCGCTGTTGCAAATGAAGTGTGCGCAACTTTTTGTTGCAGCACAAGCAAATAACGAATTTTCAAAGAATTATAAAATAAAATAAAATAAAGAAAAGCAACTAAATTAAAAAAAGTAAAAACGAAGAAGAAATGCATAAAACAAGGCATGCAAGCAATGCATTGAAACAACTATAGTTTAAGTTTAAACTTAACAACTTAACATCTAAGCTGGGTAGTCGCATGTAAATCTCTAAACTAAAAACAAAACAAAAAAACCTTAACCCTTAGTAATTAGCCTAACTTACTTTAAGTATTAGTTGTAATGCAATAACGAACGAATTAAAACAATAAACAAAGAAAACAACAGCTGTTTAAAAACAAACTGAAAATTAAAACTAAAAAGCATACCAAAATGAAGTAAAAAACAAAACATACACCTTAAAAAGAAACAGAATTAACTGAAAAAAAAATTTTGTTTACATGTACTATTTAAACGCCAACAACCAACACTGCATTTAAACACAAATTAACAATTATAACAATTATTACTGCAAATGCATTAACGAATTACGAATTGCCGAAACGAATAATTTTAAATGTTTAACATGTTTTTAAATAGTTTTCTTTCTTTTTTCTATACTATATACATATATACAAAATCTTAAGGAATTATACAATTTTACTCGAAAATGCTAACATCAAGTTACAAACCACACATAAATATGCAAATATATGCTTTTTTTATGAACAACTGCACGCATTTGTCATTTGTGCGGCATATCAGTTTATGTAATTTTTATTAATTTATTTCTTTTTTTTATTTTTGTACATTGTATTGTAGTTATTAACTCTTGCGAGTCTAACATAGAATATACTATATATTTATGTCCTGTATATGTATGTATTGTAATTGTGTGTCGTGCATATGCAATATATGATATAATTAACATACATACACACATACACACACCACACGCGCACACAGCCGTATAAAAATGTGTTCTATATGATTGTTTTATATCCAACAATAAACTACATAATCGAAAAATAAAAGCAATTGCGTTTTTTTTTGTTGTTAATAAAAATATATTGTAGGTGCATTACAAACGAATGTGAAAAAAATTTAATTATAAAAAATAACTATCATTTAAATATTACAATAATATGTTAATAATTAAATATGATATTATTATGCGCGATTATTATATTTTTATTAAACTTTTAACTGCTATTAACTACTAATTGACGTCATATAATTACTTACTTAGCTTTGGCGTTGATAAGAAAAGAGTAAAACTTTTTTTTATTGTTTTTTAGTTGCAACAGAAAATTAAATATTTTTTCGCGTTCAACGCTAATAACCGCTAGTGTATTCATTATTATAATAAGTGCATAATATAAAAGAAAAATTAACTATAAATCGAGTTGTAAAATAAAATTTGTGAAATTTTCAACTTAAAATGCAAATATCTCGAAAACTTTATCTGGAGAATCTCCTCTATCCAACCATATCTCTTTTAACCCTGAAAGCGTGGGATGGTATACTAAAGCCGACCCATTCTAGCTAATATTTTATTATTTGCAGCTGAGATCTATAAGTTGATACTAAAAGTTTGACCAATTAAGAAATTTTTTTTGTGTTATTAAATCATATCTTTTCGCTTAAAAAAATTTACTTTTTTTTCAAATTATTCAATAAACAAAACCCACAGCATTCATTTTCATTTTAAAAACAATTAACTTAAACAGAAAAAGTCTCCGCTCATCAACCAGCACACAATAATATCAAGTAATTATAAAAAGTTTAATAGCTGGTGCGGTAGCCTCGAAATTTTAGAGCTTCTGCTAGACGTTTAGGCATGGAATTTACTAATTTTCTCGTATCTTGGGCTGACATTTTACTCCCATCGTCCAATATAACGGTCTTGAGCATTACTTTGCTGGTAATCGTATGTGTGCGAATTCTGCGCTCCAATAAAGCGCATAAATGCTCAATTGTATTGAGGTCAGGTGATTTTGGCGGTGAATGTAGCTGTTTTGTAGCATTGTAAAGAAGACAAAGACGAACAAGTTCCGCTGTATGCTTAGGGTCATTGTCCTGTTGGAAACAAAACACGTTTGGCAATCCTAATTTATCAGCACTTTGCTTCATGTGTCGTTTTAAAATATTTAGATAAACAAATTTATTCATTCTATTTTCGATAAACTCAATGCCACCACCTCCACTTGCCGCCATACACCCCCTCAATTGAACTCCACCCCCACCATGCTTTACGGTTGAAGTAAGATTTCACCATCTGTTTTCCTTTTTTTTCCAAACATACTATATTTGGTCTTATCCGACCATAAAACTGATTCCTAAAAAGATATAGGCTTGGTTATATGTTCATTTGCGAATGTAATGCGCTTCATACGGGTTTTTAAGGAAATGAATGGCTTTTTGCGTGCCACTCGTCCATGATATCCAACCCTTTTTAATATTTTTCTTGCTGTGTCGCTGCATTTTGTTTTTTTAAATCATAGTTTTTCATCTTCTGCTATTTGGGAAACGGTTAAACGTGGATTAACTTTTACAAGAGATGCAACTTTGCGTGTTTCCCGATCAGTCGGACGTCCAAATCGAGGCTTTGAAATAATAATTCCCGTTTTTTTGAAAGTCTGGATGACATATCGCACTAATGACTCGGCTCTGTTGACAACTCGTCCAATTTCACGATAGTTTTTACCGTCCTTCTTAATTTTAATATTATTTTCCGCTCATCAATACTTATTTCTTTGCCTTCTGCACTCATTTCGATTAAAGCTCAGTAATTAGAAAAATTTACTCACAAATTGCAGATTTTTCCTTCGATTATCTAAATCTGTATTATTGACAACAACGCACACAAAATTATCAGGCCTTAAACGCGTAAAAACTACAATAAACTAATGTAATAAGCAGTGAGCGGATACTTTTTCTGCTTATTCTCCATTAATAGAATTCAAAAAATGTCGCTAACTTTGCAAACGCACATAAGAATTCCATGAAATTTGGCTACTGAAATGTGAACTTCAAAAACGCATATATTTTATTAATATTTTTATTGAAACACATTCCACGGATTGGTGAGCGGAGACTTTTTCTACCTAGTGTATGTATTTTTATGCACATCCTTAATAATTCTCTACCGTTCAATTTTGAATTCAAATTCTTAACACGCATGCAACCTTACATATTAGCACAAGTTCTCAAAATTGTCATTTTGCCAACACTGTTGCAGACAGTAATAAATCCCGTTAGTTTGCAAAAGTGTTATACGAATACAAATATTAATAAAGTGCGTCTGAAGAAGTGCAGTTGCGTAATGAAATTTTCATATAAATTACGCTTATTGAAAATGAGCACATGCTACACGTGTGAGAACTGTTGCATCTGCGTGTACACATATACATACATAGTTATATGTATTTACATATGTAGTACCCATGTGTAGTGCCGTTGTAAAAACCAGTGCCATTCAAACTCTGGTGCATACTTGACAAAAAAAATATTGTGTGACCCATGAACTTCTAATGAGGTATGTATGTAAATGCATTTATTTGTTCGTACAATCAGTACAACGTACTTTTAATGATTTCCAAAAAAGCGTTTTAAAGAAATTTATATTTAAAAAATATGCTGTTCCCCAAAATTGCTGCTAAAATTATAAGCAGTAGAATTTCGGTTTAAAGTCGAATGCTTCTAAAGCTGTTAGTTAAAGCTATCTCAAAATAGGAAATGTTTATTATAAACGTTCTCTGTAACAACAATTCGCCGATTCTTTATCTGCTATGCAAACTTTCCGCCCAAAAATCTGTTTGCGGCACGGAGGCGGTTTTAAATGTTTGTTGTATTTCTACCTTTGCCGTCTTATAATACATGTTGACTTGTCTACACAATAAATAAACGAGTTTCTTTAGTTTTTAGGATTTATGTTAATATTTTTGGATTGCTTTTTCATACTTACAATTTTAATCATTTTATTCTAAAAAGTTAGTTGCCCATTTAACAGAACATATTTTATTTCTACATCACTAAAACATTTTCTTATAAAATATCAAATATTTATTCAACTATTTATAAGAAGCGTGGTAAAACAATAATCACACATCTTATATCATTTAACCCCTGCTTATTATTTCTGTACTCATTACAATAATTTAAGAAACTTGATTGCTTTGTTTGATTTATGTATAAGAACTGCAAAATCAGTTCCATATTAGTGATGACTTAGACATACTCATACTAAATACGTCCATTGTTTACCTTTCAGTACTACCTCCACTGCCTGACCAAAAAAATAATCAACACTTAAATAAATTTGATTTAGCAGGTTGATCTGTTTTTGTATATAAAAATAAAGAATTGCACATTACAAATAAATCTCATATTTAGCAGCCTACATAGCCATTTCTATGGTGAGTCAGTTGAATGAATGCACTTTGGTTATTATTTTTGGATTTGTTCATCAAGTTCTCCATCTATGTCTTTGATAAACGAATTTACCAACCCAACCAGGGCGGATGATTTATTTGAGCAGGTGGCACAAATGTTAAATTCACTGGTATATTTATAATGGCATGTGGCCGTCGTAGACTCATTAACGTTGATCGAATTATAACCCCGTTTTTGCCTAGCAAAAATCCGGCTGGTATATGAGCTTCTCTACTTGTGTTGTCATGTACCATTTCTATGTAATACTCAAACTCAGCCGAATCATCGTCAAATTCTGTCATTATAGCAGCTTTGGCGCCAGCAAGTTCAACGTTGATAGTTTTTGTTAAGAACGAACATTCGCTGCAAGTAAAAAGAATTTTGGTACTTAAATAAATGTATGTATATGTTAATTAATTTAAGTACTATCAACAATAAGGCATTAAATCAATTTGATTAAGTAATCAGATTTGTTTTGACATACATATCTCATATCACTTTTTAGCAATATGTGTGTGTGTTGGTATCTACTCATCTAAGTGCCACATATAAATCTTTATTGCAATAACCAGTTTCCGTCGCTTGATTGTGCGATGGTAAATACTTACCCTCTTTTAATTAATGCTACGTTGCCACGAAGTTCGCGATAGTTTCTAATTTTTGAGCATGCATCTGATGGTTGCGTTAAAACTAATGCAATTCCTGTGAATCGCTGTGAGACAAATGATACACCAAAATCTTTCGCCGGTCGCAACCGATACGTGTACTCCAGCACAGCAGGTTCTGTTATCTCAAAGAAGACATCACCAGCTATAATATCTTGGGTTGTGATAATATCGTGAATGGGTGGATGATGTACTCCTGAAAATAATTAGATTAATACTTTGTAAGCTACAGTTAACGGCGCAAAATCTACAATTCTACACTACCTGATAAGGGCGCTATCACAAGCAATAGCAAATTGAGTGCGATTGCGATGGGATTTAAACATGTCAACGAGCACATTTCTTAAACACTCTTCGTAGTTCGAATTGTTCAACACCGCTGCCGGTGCAGCATTTTAAATATTTACATAAACGTATCTTGAGCCAACTAATATTTTGACTTTATACAATTTCCAATTTGTTGACAAAATCAGATGTGTTCTAAATGCAGGGTGTCAAATAAGTTCGTTATAAGTTTTTGGATTATTGTGAAATACCACAGAGTGAAAACAATCAACAAATTTAACGGAAATATAAATTCATTTGGAGAGATGAAAAAATTACAATTTTAAATAATTTTTTTTACAGTAACTAATTTTGTTTTATATAGCAATAGCAATATTAAATGAAGTTTCGACTTGATTGTTAACTAATTTTCAAAGTAATGGCTGTGCTGATCCAGTTCCAATCGAAGCTCCGTGCGTCGACCATCACTAATCCTTAAAGATTCATCTAAGATCAATCGGACAAAATAAAATTAGTTTTATTAATAGGTAATCAAGTGCCTGATGTGAGCTTTTTTAATTAAAAAAAAGGGAGCGGATTTGAGAGAAAAAACCAACAGTTAATTGTTTAAAAAAATCGAAATTAAAAAACGCTCTTCGGCCATGTTGCGTATTTTCAAAAAGCTCTATAAGTTTCACTAAAATCTACAACCGGTTTTCGAGCTACAGTGGTCATTACTTCAAAACACATAGTTATGAAATCTAGGCATTTGAAGTTTTACCTGAACGTTCCAGAGCAGCCGAGAACCTTTTGCTATTTATAGAATAACGCAAAGCATTTGTCTGACTTATTTAAATTTTCGACTTTTTTTTTTTTTGAAAACTGACTACCCTTAACCTCTTAACTAAATAGCCAAACCGAGTTCATAAATTTTATTTCTTGTGGATCTCTGTAACTGCAAATAATTTAGTACTGCCACTAAATTATATTGAAAAACAATGGCAACACTCAATCTGGGGCATCGTTGCGAAACAAAAGTTAGGCAACACTTTTGTGACCGGAGGGTATTGTCCGCTGCAGTTTCGATGTGTATCCCTTGCAATTAAGTAACCCCTTCATTGAGAACTCTGTCGAAAGCCCTTAGCGCCATCTTGCGAGGATAAAATGCACTTATTGCCACGCTGCATTTTCTGTGCAATGCAAAGTTTTTATTATGCCATAATGTTTCAGTTATGTTTATTTATATATCTCAAATTATTTATATATATCAAACTTTGTGAATTACCATGTTTGTGGCCTAAATTAAGCAAATTTACATGAGGTAGTGGAAATGCATGTAAAAGGATTGGCAACACTTATGTATATGTATGGATTAGAGACAGGTAACCCTGGTTTTCGAGTTTTGTGGGGCATTTTTGTAAAGTAGTCGGAGGCGCTTTTGGACGAACGTCGACGTCGGCAGCCATTTCGATTTGTGTTCAGTGCGTGGAGTGGTGAAAGCAATTTTCACCGAGAGGAGCGCGCTGCATTTAGTTGTTTTAACGTTTGGACTGTGGCAAAGACTTTTTAGTTGGTAAGACACCCGCGATAGCAGATAAGCAAGGAAGAAAAATGTCAGCTCCCACGTGTTATAAGTGCAACCGTCCAGGCCACTTTGCCCGCGACTGCAACGCCGGTGGTGGTATGGTAGGAGGAGGAGGAGGAGGAGGCCGTGATATGAGACGCGGAGGTGCTCGCGAAAAGTGCTACAAGTGCAATCAACTTGGTCACTTTGCGCGTACATGCCCCGAGGAAGCAGAACGCTGTTATCGTTGCAATGGAATTGGGCACATCTCGAAGGAGTGTTCACAGGCTGACAATCCCACTTGCTATAAGTGCAACAAGCTTGGTCACTGGGCGCGTAATTGCCCAGAAGCTCTTAACGATCGAAATGTTAGCAACATTTCATGCTATAAGTGCAACCGCACAGGCCACATTTCCAAGCACTGTCCGGATACAGCGAAGACATGCTACGGCTGCGGCAAGAGCGGCCATCTGAGACGCGAATGTGACGAGAAAGGGAGCCGCAATTAAGTAGCGGCATGACTTCGTATACTACACATACACTACAATTGCAACCAACTTATAACAAAAAAAAAATAAAAGAAAAAACATAAAACAAAAATTAAACTCACACTCTCCTTCCTTATAAAACCTATTTTCAATACAAAAAATTTTCTATTTCCGATTTGAGCGCTTATACGGCTCTTTGTAGCAAATTGCGCAGATATATTGAAGCGGAACTGCGTTTAAGTAATCCTGAGGAATTGAAATTGTTTGTTGTCGATCGAAATTGAGATTTATTGCTGCTTCATATTCATCTCCTCCAGTGAACATACACAGTCCAACCACGTACAACACCACATCATCATCAACATCACCTTCATTTAAAGTGATCTGACTTAGCTAATTAACTGGGCTGATACGATTAATGTTGACACAATGCATTTTTGTTTTTTTTTGCTGTAAGGAGCCGGGTGTCAGGCCCAGTTGAAGGAGCGGAGTATATAGCAGTCCGGAGTAACCCCAAGAAAGAATATAACAAAGAAGAGCAAAGAAACCCAACTCAGAAGCACGAACCTTCAAAATAAAATTTCAAATATCACTGTGATTGTTTTTTAATTGTAAATTAAAATACTGGAGCTGCTGATTTGAGAACAAAATAGTTTGTTTCATTAAACATTGAATTTTAGTTAGATGTTTTTCACTAAACAGTTTCGATTATCTTTAAAATTTGGTGATTTTTGTCTGCGTACATGTTTGTATATTTAGGTATCTACACATGCTGCATACAAATATCAATACACACAACTATACATATATACTAAAGTTAAATCGAATCTTTGGTGGTGTTTCGTGTCGGTGAGCACATCGAATTTCAGGTTTTACTCACTTTTACATTGTTTCTATGTACGGCGCGACCGGCACTATTAATGCCAACGATGCTGTAAGAAACACATAATAGCAGCAGTTGTCTTTATTTCCTTTCCTATATACGTGTGTAGTGGTAAATGCGCACAAATATAGCGAACGGAGATTATTGGTTTCTATGACTATGCGCCCAGTGTAGGGACATTTACGCGTATTTTGCTTGAGAGTTTTACATTTACCTCACAATAATTTTAAAATAATTTATCTTTCACCACAACGCAATTTGTGTTGGAAAGTACAGTCACTACCATGGTGAAAATGCGGCATGCGTAGATCACAGGCTGGATTCCTATTTTACCAATGCAGTGTTGCGCATTGCAAATAATTTCGCCTTAATGGCTAACATATGTGCACGGGTACATTTGGATATGCAAACATATGTATATATGGATGTGTGTATGAATTGTATATGTGCATATGTTATATTATGTGTATATGTATTGGTGTCCATATGTTGAGCCAAGAATCGGTATACCTGCACAAATGCAATGCGACAAGCAGCTGCTGCTTTCACTACAGCCACAGAATTGTTGCTAGTCGATGTATGTATTCACTGTTTTTCACAAACTTATTTCAAGGTCAAGGTCAAGCCGAAGAAGAAGCGCAAGCGCAACTAGGGCTCCAAAATACTTATTTAGTATGTGTGATAAGATTGGGGAGAAAACAAGATGAATATCACATACTCAGCTTGAACTGCATCTCCAAAACTAACTGAAATTTATGTAAAGTCCGCGTCAAATTTGATTAGATGGTATAATAAGCGCCGCATTCGAACTGAAATCATATGTGCACAGGACAAAACTAAGTTTTGATGCAAAAACAAATTTTTTTATTGAATTACTGTTCTATGTAGCTGCATATACAACTGTATATCCGGATCCGGAACGTTAGACTCATCATTATTCCCTGTTCAAGCTCAGTTTGCCACGAAGTGTGTAATACTAAATAACATCGGAGACTGTATAAAACCTATACATATGTACAAGTATATATGCAAATGATCAGCAAGACGAGCTGAGTCGATTTAGCCGGTAATGTCCGGCTGTCTAACGGCCTGTCTGTCTGTTTATATGCGAACTAGTACCTTGGTTTTTAAAATATCGATCTGAAATTTTTCACACGTCGTTCTCTCCAAGAAGTTGCGCATTTCTCGGCATCGTTGATATCGGATCCATATAGCATATAGCTGAACAATCAAAACCAAGTACTTATGTGGAAAACTTTTTTATTTGACAAGATATCTTAACGAAATTTGGCATGCATTATTGTCCAAGATAACGGCACAATCTGCGAACAAATTGTTCAGATCGAATCACTATTGCCTATAGCTGTCATGCAAACTTAACGATCAAAATCAAGTTGTTGTATGGAAACTTTTCTATTTGTGAAGCGTATTATTGCTTCGATCCATTCGAAGTTAACAGGTAAATATCTCTATTCTGCACACACATACACATAAATGTTATTAGACACACTTAAGGAAACTGAATGCATTTTTTATTTATCGTTCTTAATGTTAGTAACTATTTTCATTACATTTATACATATAGTGTATCTAGGTATGTACTATGTATACAAACGTCGTCGAATATGCGAGTATATAGTACATTATCTGGCGGAGGGAAATAGAAACAAATTGTAATTGGTAAATACATACATACAAAGGTATATATATACATATATATATATATATATATATATAATGCGCTAAAATAAAGGATTGTGGGAGTTACGAGAACTTAAGTATAAATACATTTATGTATGTTTGTATGTATGCATGTGCGATTCATATTATGTATGTATTGTATATAAGTAAGTAATTAATTAAACATAATTCAAAGTAATAGTTGAGCACCTCTGTTCACAATTTTTGTAATTTGCTACCTGAAAGTCTAGCATCCAATTCTAATATTTATTTAATTTTTTTCTTTATCCTTGCATTTCGCATTAAACACGCATTCATTGCTATAAAACATAAACATTCGATGCTATTTAACATTAGTATTAGTAAATAAACTAAAATAAATAAAAACCTGCACTCAGCTGGCGGCATACACAAATGATATAATCCACACAAGCCGTATCACATAGGCCACACGTAGCGAGTTCCTACTGCACAGCATATATTGTAAATGATAAATTAACTTTAAGATTATACATAATATTTTATGCTACAATCACTTTTACTTGATATTGTGTTGAGATAACGTTTTGGGATTAGTAGGAGTAATAGGAGCGGTGGAGTGGAGAGATTCTGCGTAACAGTCGTAATACTTATTTTAAAGTAAAATCAGCCAACGTTCATTCTGCAAATGTTGCCGGCTTAGAAAAAATAATTATAAAATGGGCAACAATTCGTTAGGTTTATAAACAGTTGCATACTAGTATGTATAATTTCAATTAAATTTACAGCAATCGAAATCATTTAAGCTGCCTTTTCGTAAGCTATTGCTTCAAAAAGTATAGGTTTTTGCTTTTTATTTCAATGTTTGTTGAGTCTTTCAATTTGATTACGACTTGCTTTTTGGTCTGTTTGTTTGTTGCCTGTTCTCTACTTCTCCGTCTTGCTGCGCGTTTTCGTCGTGGCTCCAATGACTTTTTCAGACTTTTTGGTGCGTGGAAGCGTGGTATAGCTAGCCGACATAACCTGTAATGAAAATGCAAAAAAAAAAGCAGAAAATGTATATATAATTAAAATTTGATAGTAAAAGCGAAATTGTGAAAGAGAGTATAAGCAGAGTAAACAAAAATGCAACTGCACATGCCCAGGAATAAAGCAGCACATGCATGGATTATCAATGAGTGCAAACTTGATATGCGCAAACTGTTTAAAGGCGGGCATATGGTGGAGCGCGATGCCAAGAGCTATAAAAATACACACACACACACAAAAAGTATAAAAAGAGAAATATTTAACACTTTTGCACTTTGGAACACCCCACCATGCGCTCATGCTCATTTTCATATTAAGCCGATTGAAACATTTTGGGTTAGTTTGAGCAAAAAACAAGAAAAAACGTTAACTTTGATGGCACCGAAGCTTGAATACCCTACACATATAAAAACGTTTACATACAAGAACTTGATTTGTATTGTTTAGTTTGTATGACAGCTATATGCTACAGTGTACCGATCTGAACGATTTGTTCGCAGATTGTATTGTTGCTTTGGACAATAATACATGCCAAATTTTGTGAAGATATCGCGTCAAATAAAAAAGTTTTCCCTGCAAGCACCGGATTTTGAACGATCAGTTTGTATGGCAGCCATATGCTATAGTAAACCGATCTGAATAATTCCTACGGCGATTGTAGCGCTACCTTCGCAATAATCTATGGTAAATTTCGTGAAAATATCTTATCAAATAAAAAGTTTTCCATACACGGACTTGTATGACAGCTATATGCTATAGTTGTCCGATATCGGCGGATGCGACAAATGAGCACCGTTTTGGGAGGAAAAGCACGTGTGCAAAATTTCAGATTGATATCCCAAAAATTGAAGAACTAGTGCGCGTATATACAGACAGACAGACAGACGGATATAGCTAACTCGACTCAGCTCGCTGATAAATCGCGCTGATCACTCTTTATATACTTAATAGAGTACTTGATACTTGACTACGACTGTGTCTGGACGTTGCAAATTTCGCATCAAATTTTTTATTGTATACATGTAGTTAGGTACGTGTGTGCCTCTAGGCAGGTGCGTTTTTGGGTAAACTCCAGGTATGCGATTTTTGCAAGCTGTTAAATGCGTTTCGGCATACCGGCTTGCTGGTTACCAACCAAAATGCGCTCACATAGCTACCAACATAAGTAGGGGTATGAGTATGAATGCATATTCGTATGTACAATTTCATGAGTTAACAAAGAATGATGAAATATTGTATGTATAGCAATGCTCAACTGCAAGCTGCAACTGCGAAATGCGTTGCAACAACAAACATTAGCGGGGGGAAGAGTAGTGTAGCAGCATCTTAAATACAAACACGGTCCAAACTTTTTGAAATATTGCAGTAGTAGATTTTTTGCTTACAGTTCTAAAAAAAATTGTTGTAATTGTTGACTGTTTCATTAAATAGGTGCGTTTTTGTTGTTGTAGAAGCTTTAATAACGCCAAAAAAAATGGTTTTCAGCGAATGTAAGCATAACCGTCCAGTTCCAAATACCGTGCGACGAATGTCTTTTGTGTTGTTTTTGTTGTTATATCAATGCCTATACCGCAAATTGATCGGCATAACTATCCACATATGACTTTATCTAAAATCTCGCCTTAATTCTTTGGTTATTGCTCAGCGCCGCTGCTACTCGTGGTATTTGGTATTTAGATTTAAAACTAGTCTACAATTGCGTCTCATAACGGGCATTTGGCTTCTCGGGAGTCGCCTCAGTTGTTCTGCCCGCCAAACTGTTGTTGCTGGCCAAGCGCAATAGATTGGATTTTATATTTCTGAATATGTTTCGGTGCGGCGCTGGCGAAGAACTACGCGAAGATAAGCTAGCAGCATCTAAGCTACTGTTCGGCGCTGTTGTGCTGCTCACTACATCTGCTGGTACGCGTGTGGGACGCGGTGGCAATGGTGGCGCTGGTGCTTTGCCTTTGTTGTGCGTTAGCGGACGTAGCGTAAATAATTTACTATCAATGGCTGTTGTGTAAGAAGATAAGGTGGGCATTGTTGTTGTTGTGGTTGCTATATTGGCGCGAAAGTTATCTTTAATTGCTTTTAGGGTGTCTTGTAATTCTTTGGCATTGATTTTCGGTCTTTCGGTGGTCTCTTGAAGCTCAACGCCAGTTGCGTTTGCTTCAGCCACAGCTTGGATTGTGATATCTGTGGCTTCTTTTGGTAAATCCGATTGCATGTAAGGAGTTGTAATCGCTTCCTGTACCAAGTTGTCTGCAGGCGTCTCTGCGACAGCTTTCTCCCCCTTCGCTTCTTCAGCTTCCTCTAATGTGTGTAGCGCATCGGCAAAGACATCGCTTTCATTGTCCTCATCGCTGCTATCGAGTGTGTTGTAGGTGTCGGTGTTACTGCAAATAGAATTGTTATCCTCCTTGAAATAATAATCGTCCTTTAATGCTACTTCATCGATGTCTGCAATGGGCGCGCCGAATGTCTCCTCAACTGCGTCGATTTCAGCTTCTAATTGTTGTTGTGTTATTGTGACGCTAGTCGCCGCTTGTTGACCTTCGTGTGCTGTACTCTCTTTAACAACATTTTCTGCTTCAAAGCTACACTCTAAGTCATTGATTTCAGCAATGGTTTGCATTTTTTCAAGTGACGAGCTCTTGCCGTCGTCGCCACTTTCTTCAGCGGATCTGGCATGTGGCATCTCCTCCAAAATTTGTATGCATTTCTGTATATCGACGACGGTTGGTTCGTGTAATGTCTCAAAGTCTTCTAAACTTCCCCTAAACTCTTGATCTGTTGGCCTAAACTTGTGTTGGGGTTCATTTAGAATCTATCGGGATACGCGGGTTCAAATAAATAATATAAAATAAATTATAAAATAGGAAGCAAATAAAATTGAAATGAAACCTGTAAAAAAAACCTATAAAATTAAAATATAATATAATAATAAAATACAAGTAGTTTACAGGTTTGGTACGAGTATATCAAAATACCGAAATTCGGAACTTTCTTGAAAGATTATTTCTGAAACGTTTGCAATTCGACAGACATGTGTTAAAGAAGAGAACATAGTATATTTTTAGTGTTCGCCGACAGTACGACGTCTATTAAATCTCACATTAAATTTTCATTGACTTTAGTGATGGACCTTTGAAAGTTCACCAAGCTGTGTAGTTATGCCGAAGCCATTACGAAGCTCTTGGCTTTGCAGATGGTGTGAGAAATATCAGCTTTGGAACTATCTTTGTTTTAATTCTTTCACAGCAAAGTTGGAGATATTTTTAGAGAACAAAAATGATCAATGTGTATTGGAGGTACATTAAATTACTAAATTGGTGCAAAACGGTATGCGCCTGTGAGTATGTCATATATGTGAAATGCCATTACATGTGCACATATATACAAGATTCAATTTTGTGCGGCATCTTTTAGGCGCTATAGAATGAATGCAACCATTTCATACACAATTTCGGCTTCAGAGATAAGTTTAAAAAAAAATTCTTGCCACATTTATTTGTTTATTTTCTGAGTTTTTGTAGCTCACTTTTTAATCTACAACTATTTTTAGGTTTTCAAAAAATCTTAAACAGCGTTGAATTTCAGAATGCTTGCAATTTGTAGCATTGCTCTATCGGAAGTTAAAAAAATTGTGTACCGTTAGAGGGTGTAGACTTGCTTTCCGTTCGCAATGCATCTTATGCTTCATTTGCAGTGCTTTTTTATCGCATGCTACAAAAAAGTGAAGCGGTCAATACTTTTTTGTCGCATGTTAAAAAAATGTTGAATACAAAACCTCTAAATTTTACTAGATTTAAATATTTTAATTAAGAATTTAAAAAATGCATGCGCATGATATATATTTATATAAAATTTAGTTAAGGAGTCATATTCTTTTCAGCAATATTTTTAAATTTCTACTATACATTTGAATTGCAATTCGCTACACGGAAGCCACAAAGTAGCAGAAAAATAATAGTAATTAAAAAAAAAACATAAAACAACAACGCTTTTGCCTTACCTCTGTAGTACGCCTGGCTTTCAAACGTGTTTTCGAAGCATTTGTCATCGACGATGTTCTGCTTAGGCCAACCGATACCGGTTCGGCGCTGGAGTAACCCGAACTAATGTCTTCCGATGATCTTATATTGTAGCTATTGGCGACAAGAATGAAAATTCCTTTGTTAAGCGCAATTGTTCATGTATGTATGTATGTATGGATGTGTAGGTTAAAGGCAATGCTTACTTAAAACCATCCGCACCCTTAGCAACATCCACCTCGGAGAAATACATGCCGGTAGAGTGGCGTGTACCCGACGCTGAACGGGCAATACTTGCATGTGGACGTGGACGCAGCAGACGTTGCTGTGAACGCATTTGCACGACTTCGTCGATCTGATGTGGCGCAATAAAGTTTATGTATATATGTATGTGTATGTGCGTGTGTGCAGTTGTATGAAAAAAAATTATTATTGTCAACGTTTTGAAAAGGCGCTATTGTACAGTTATTGCTATTTATTTTACTATTGTTATTTTTCTTTTATTATTTTTTTTTTGTTATTTTTTTAAATTCTTTTAATTTTATTTTTTTTATTTTATTTTATTTAATTTTTTTTTTATTTTATTTTATTTTTTTTTTGTACGTTTGCACTTACCTCGTCCTGTGTGCGTTGCACATCTGGCTCCGAGAGATCGCTCAAGCTGTAGCTGCGTCGCAACGTTTGCACCAGATTGCCGCCACCCTATTGTGTATAAATTATGCGCACGACAAAGAAATTTATCAATTGCGTAAATTTATATACTTACATACATACAAAAATACATGTGTATGCAGCAAGCAACTTTTTAGGTGTTTGAACTTAAGTATGAGTTGTGATGTGCCGTTAAATGTATGTAGTTACGATTTTACAATGAGCCAACAGCGATTAATAGCAAAATTAGGTATAAAAAATGTTTAGCATATATTAAAAATTAATTGTAAAAAAAATTGTTACAAACTAATAGTGTACTTAAACGACTAATACAAGCATACATAAGATTAATTAGCATTTTTTATTAATAGTTTGAATTGTGGCGTTTCGAGGTTGTTGGCTGGCAAACGTCGTCTGCTATCGTCTGCTCAGAGATCATATAACTGCGTACCATTCTAAATGCTTTCCTGCCAAATAGTGCAGGCCAATTGCATATACTACATATATCTTTATTTGTGCATTTTATTCGATTTCGATGTCCATGTCTGGTGTGGCGTCGCGCAATTTGCGCCGTCCTCTGATGCCGGCGCCCGTGGCTTTCGCCGCATTCATGTTGCTTTGTTTGGTATCTCTTGTTGTCGTCATTTTTGTTGACGTTGTAGATGCTTTGCGTGTACGCAACTTTCGTGCGGGCAGTTCACGTGAACGTGCCGCACCCTTTTCTTTACTTTCCACTGCCGCCAGCTCCGCTTCGATCAACATTTGCCGCTCTTGGCACATGAGCGCACCAATCGGCATCAAATCCAGCTGTTCGTCGTCTTCCGAAAACTCCAATTGTGCCGCATTTAATTGACCAAGTGAGGCGGAACGTTGCATCCAAGTGGCATCGCCAATAGCACAATCTGGGTCATCGCGTTCACTTTGCGTATTGCGACGGTAGCGATCGATCTCATTGTCCGAATGTGAAGTACTCAGCTGTGCTGGAAATTGATTGTTGCCGATTGTGCCCATGCCGAACTGTACGGTCTGCGTATGCGTCGCGTGCGTGTTCGTTCGGTTGTGTGTTTGGACGCATGCAGCGGACAAGCGTGTATGCGTGCGACGTTGTGTGTGAATGTGAGTTCAATTACATTTTTTTGTTTTGATTTGATTTTTGTTTTTGTGAGTCATATGTTAGATTGTGTTAGGCGTTGCGTGCGTTATAGAGGAGGAACCAAAGGAAAAGAAAATAAATATTATTGAAATTAAAATAAATCAAAAAAGCAAAGTTTATTGTGAAAGAAAACAGACATAGCAATCAAAAAATGCGCCAATTGTAAACAGTAAATGATTTTTACGCTAATACAATATGAAATTATTAGCATAATTAATTCCGTTTTTTTTTACTTCAAAAAAAAATCAAAAGACATTTAAAATGACGCAACAAAATACATTTATTTGTTTTGGCATACAAAATATTTGAATGAAATGAAATATGAAACCGCTTAACTAAATTATATTAAATGTACGAACTATACATACACATAAGTATAACTGCGATGCATATGATCAAGTAATGGGCAGCGCTGCATAATACACATATATATTTTTAAAGCTTTGAAACGAAAAACAAATTGCAAATTTTATGCTTAAAATCTACAACGTGTGCAAAAAAAAATCTAAATATCAGCCTGTTGCAGCACAAATGCTCCACAGTCGACCAAATGCATCTTCAGAGCGTTTAATAAGCGGCGTATTTTTTTTTTTTTTTGTTTTTTTTTTCAAATGCTACTTTTTCTTATAATGGTGTTTGATGAGTTTCGGTTAAATACGAGTATTTTGCTTGCAGCTGTGATGAACACAATGTGGTGAACTTGTTTACATAATGATTTTTGATCTCTAAAAAAATATATGGCATTTTTTTAATTATTGCTGCGTTGAAAAACATTTACCTTGAGCGCTGTTTGCATGATGACATTGGTGGCATAGTTGACGCCTTTGGTGCCCAATTGTAGTACAGCTGAGTAGCCACGTTCTTTGGCTTGATTGAGGTACTCGTCAATTTCCTAAAAAGTTGTGGAGAGAAGAAAATTTATATATATATGTTTAATTTACTACAGTCGAATTAAGGTCTATGCAGAATTCTGCAAAAATGTTGGGCAGATTAGAAAGTTTTTTTCTTTTAAGCGTAAGTAGTTCAAAACCAGAAAAAACATGCCCACAATACCTACCACAGGTGTATTTCTTATACCATAAAAGTGTTTAAAAAGTGCTTTATCTTTGATTTTGTTTCGAACTGATCAATATATATATATATAGAAAGATTGTGGCATTGTCTTTCCAGAAAAAACCAGAAAAAACATGCCCACAATACCTACCACAGGTGTATTTCTTATACCATAAAAGTGTTTAAAAAGTGCTTTATCTTTGATTTTGTTTCGAACTGATCAATATATATATATAGAAAGATTGTGGCATTGTCTTTCACAATTATATGGGTCGAATTTCGTGAAGATATCTTGTCAAATAAAAAGCTTTCCATACAATTTCTTGATTTTGATCGTTTAGTTTGTATGGCAGCTATATATGGCGGTTCAGATCCTCCCAGTTGAAAAGGTTGGTCATATCCCTCAATTGTGGCAAATGTATACTTTGAATAAGCAAAACATATGCTATGGGGATCCGATTTGAACAAGATGTTCGGAGATTGCAGCCTTGCCTTGGACAAAAATCTGTGTCGAATTTCGTGAAGATATCTTGTCAAA